ATTAAGATTGTGATACTTTGGGGGGAGCTCCCAAAAGGTGCTCAGGTGCAAATAAATGCCCACAGGCATAATACTTGCTCATGCCTTGGTGTACTGGGGCTATCTAGGCCACCTCTCAGTGCTGTTGGCCTTCAGGGCTACACCTGACTGTGCTCAGGGACCTTCTATGATTGCACCCAGCAACGCTCCAGGGATCATATGGTGTTGAGAATTGAACCCAGGTTGGAATCATGCCAAGCATGTCCCTTATCTGCTGTACTTAACTCTCAGTCCCAAGACTATAATATTAGGTACAACATTGTTGTGAGGAAGGAATTTCTAAGATTGAGAAGAATTATAAAATCTTATATTTTTACATGGGAAAAAAAGCACGAGGAAAAATTGACAAAAACAAACATAAAATTTTCCTTAAAGAATGCAAACTTGATTCTTTTTTAAAAGGAGCAGACAAATGATAATAGTTATGAAAATGAAGAGCAAATAGCTATATTAGAAATGTTTAATCCAATTTGTTGGAAATATTTAATCCAAAAATGCAAAAATTATATTTATTATATTATCAAAGATGTAAGAAAAATAATCATATATAAATGCACTTGAGATTCTTTCAAATATTACTGACAGGAAGGTGAAGTTGGAAGGACAATAACTTATTTATTAAAGTCTAAAATAGCTATTTGACCAGAAACTATAAAGTACGTTGAGGAAAATATAGGTAGAACACTTAGGATTTGGACTTCAAAAGTGCCTTTAATGATCTGAAACCTCTGGCAAAGGTAACACAAAAATAAACAAATGGAACTACATAAAGTTAGAGTGCTTCTGTATGGCAAAAACAAAACAACCACGGGCAAAAAATGAAAAGAATGCTAACTGAATGAGAAAAAATACTTGCCTTCAGCACATAAGATAAAAGTTTGATATCCAGGATATATTAAGTATTCACAAAGATGAACACCAACAAGTCAAAAGCCCCATCAACAAATGGGGGGAGGAAATGAATATATACATCTCAGAGGAAGACAGCAGTAGACACATGAAAAATGCTCAGCATCACTGAACATCAGAGAAATCAGAGATACCACCTCACATCAGTGAGAATGGCACATATCAAAAATAGTAGGAACAATCTGTGTTGATGGGGGTGTGATGAAAAAAGAACTCTCATCCACTGCTGGGAACGTTGTCTAGTACAACTGCTGTGGAAAACAGTGTGGAGAGTTCTGAGTAAACTTAGAATTGAACTTCCATATGAGCTGGCAATTCCAATTTTGAGCATCTACCCCAAGGATATAAAAACACTCTCTCCAAAGGGCATGTGCACACCATTATTCATTGCTCCACTCAGTACAGTAGCTAAGATATGGAATCAACCTAGGTGTCCAATAAACATGAATGGATTATGAAGATCTGAAACCGCACAGTATGCTGCAATGTGGTTGGAACTGAAAGATCATGTTGACTGAAGTAAGCCAGAAGAAGAAAGACAGACAAAGGATAATCTCATTTATCTGTGGTATATAGGATACTGGATGAGGAAATGTAAAAGGGGATGCCTTGATTACCCTTGACCCCAGTGTTTAGAGTGGAGACAAAGAAGGAAAGAAATCAAAGTGGGGGAGGGGGAGGAGAAGAAATGGGCGAACAAGTATTAGGCCATCAATTATATTGGGGTAATATAGTGAGTGGTATAGCATATACCAAAATACAGACTCAACATAACTAGAAGCACGAGATCTAAGCTGCAATCACTGAAACTTTGTAATGTGCCTGTCAAGTTGACGGGTGGGGATGTGGTAGGGATTGGAGTGGGGAGGGAATTCGGAAACACAGATGAAGCGAAGTTGACACTGATGGAGGGATTGGAATCGAAATATTTCATTCCTACAACTCAATTATCAATAACTTTGTAAATCACAGTTCTTTAATAAATTAATTTTAAAAATGTACATCCCATAAAACAAGACATACAACAGGGACATTAATTTTGAATCATTCAGAGCCTTATGTTGACCAGCTAGAAATTAAACAAAGAAGAAATGTTCATTTATTTATAAAATAAAATCCTAAAACATCTAGATAATTATACCTTTATTTATTTAGTGGAAATTTATCCTAAATTATTTCCTAAAGGAAATAATCAGATATGCAAGGGAAACTTTATTCACAAGCATGTTTTGGGAGTAGTGGGGGGTGGGCCACCCCCTGCAGTACTCAAGAGGCTAGTGCTGACTTTATCATCAGGTGTGACCTTTCCCCCCAGTGCTGTTTAGGGGGCAATATATGGAACCAGAGACTTGAAAAAGAATCCAGCTAACATAGGCACATGCAAGAAAATGGCCTTACTTCCTATAATACCTACCACCTCCCAAACATGCTTAGAATGACATACAGAATAATAAAAAATTGGAAAGACTTTTATGCCCAACACAGGTATGATTAAGAAAATCTTAGAATGGTTACAAAATGAGCAAACAATTTTGTACCAACACAGTTCTCATCTCTTTTTTAAAAAAATCAGGAAGTGTATTATATAGAAAACATAAAAACAGAGTTACAATTTAGGGAAGAATTTTAGAATATTTCTGTGTCATTTTTTCTATTGAAGGATAAAATTCTTTCAACTTACTGCCCCTTCATAAAAGGATTAGCATTATGCAATTATTGTTTACATTGAAAAGGATCTATTTTTTACCTTGTGATAGCCTTTTTTATATATTTATCTAATTAACTTTACACATTTATTGACAGAAATGAGGTTAGCTATGCTTAAATTCTTTTTGAATTTTATAAGATAGTTCACAATAGGACTAGAGCGATAGCACAGAGGGTAGGGCATCTGCCTTACACACGGAAGACCCGGGTTCAATTCCTCTGCCTCTCTCGGAGAGCCCGGCAAGCTACTGAAAGTATCCCACCCGCATGGCAGTGCCTGGCAAGCTCCCCATGGCATATTCAATATGCCAAAAACAGTAACAACAAGTCTCAGTGGAGATGTTACTGGTGCACACTTGAGCAAATCGATGAACAATGGGAGGACAGTTCACAATATTTGATTACATTTAATATTCAAATACCATTCCTACACATTTCACCTTCCCACCACCATATTTCGAATGTTTCCATCCCAAACCCAAATCCCTGTCCCAAAGCAGAACTGAAATAATATATTTTGTATTATTTGTTATGAAAAACTGCTAAAAATGCTACAGAAAAGTATCCTTAGAGGAAAGAGTGTGAAGATTGTTCTATTTCAACAGGGGCCATTAAGACCTTCTATAATAGATCACTAACATTTTGTTTAAGGTTGAGCCTTGTGTGCTTATGTATATATATGTATATATATATGTAGAAATATATATATATTTTTTTCCTCTAAAATTGGTTGCCTACTACTTTGAACCCCAACAAATGTGTGGTACTTGGTACTTTTGGAGTATGGGTAGGGTGTGTCCCGTGAAGTGTCCAGGAATAGGTTCACACTCATGGGTCAAGCTTGACCAGGGCGTGTGGAGAGCAGCCTTGAGCATGACAGCAATTGAGTTCTGGATGTTTTTGGCTGCCTGGCTTGTTCCCTTGGGGCAGGGAGGGCTCTCACTCTCCCCCTTTGGGGTGCCCATAAACAGCCTGGTGTGGGTTCCAGCAGCAGCATGGTTATGGCTAGCATCATGTTATGCTCCCATCCAGGAGAGAAGGACATGCGATTTGGATGGTGACCGATGACGAGATTATCTGGAGCCAGTCAGAGGTGGCTTATGTATGCCCAAATTCTTGAATGTCAGTTTATTTCTGATTTAACTTTATTTGTTCTGTTATGCCATTATTTATATATATATATATATGTATACATATATATTTTTTCTCTTTTAGTCACACCTGGCAATGCACAGGGGTTACTCCTGGCTTATGCACTCAGGAATTACTCTTGGTGGTACTCAGGGGACCATATGGGATGCTGGGAATCCAACCCGGGTCAGCCATGTGCAAGGCAAATGCCCTACCCGCTGTGCTATTGCTCCAGCTCCCATATCTGTTTTTATATCTTTTTTTTTTTTTAATTTTCCACCCCTCGCAGTGCTAAGGGCTTATTCCTTACTCCTGGCTTTTAGCTCAGGGGTTAATCCTGGCAGGCTTGGGGGACCATATGAAGTGCCAGGGATCTAACCTGGGTCTGTTGCTGGTAAAGCAAGCGCCCTATCACCTGTACTATTGTTCCAGTTCCCCCATTATTCATTTTGACCTATAAATTTGAAAAAATTGGAAATAATTTTCCAGTGCTATGTCCATATTATTATGGGATAAAAAATAGATGAAACAAAATATAGAAAGAATTAAAGAGTTAAAGTTAGAAGATTCAGAAATACAAAAATATAAACTAATATGTAATATTTGTATTTTTCAATTTTCTTTTTAAAAATCAATTTTAAGATACCTTTATATTTTATACCACAACACAAAAGAGAAATTTCACAAGGCAATTACCTACGCACTGATATTTTCTATTTTTTTTCTTTACCTTTTCAAGTGGGCTGGAACGATAGCACAGTGGGTAAGGCGTTTGCCTTGCATGCGGCCGACCCAGGTTCGATTCCTCTGTCCCTCTCAGAGAGCCCAGCAAGCTATTGAGAGTATCCCGCCCACATGGCAGAGCCTGGCAAGCTCCTCGTGGTGTATTCGATATGCATTCGATATAACAAGTCTCGTAATGGAGACATTACTGGTACCTGCTCTAGCAAATCGATAAACAACTAGAGGACAGTGCTACAGTGCTACCTTTGTGCTTGCAATTCAGATTTTAAAAATAAACATAATAGGAAGAAATTGTCATCTAATTATTTCCTAAAAGATTATCTATTAGAGTGAGATAAAGGTGCATGGGAGGAGTCATCAAGGAATGAAGAGTGGGTGAGATGACATCTCTGGTAAACTTTTCATGGTGACTAATATTTGTTAAACTTCTGTGGTGTTCCCTGGCCCTCATCTGTAATGTTCCTCTGTAGCTAAGGAAACAACTGTCTGAGGAGAAGCACCTGAGGGAATCTCTTGAGAAATCGGAATCAGCTATGATACTCAAAATACAAGAAATGTCATCAGCAGTGGAGATGGAACAGAAACAGGTAGGAAGATTTTCTCTCTTGGTTTGTTAGGATAGTAAAAAGAAAAATGTTTGCTTATAATCCTAAAGCCATTGTTTTGCTTATTTTCTCTAGATGAACTATTTATTTTAATACTTTTCTGTCAACAGTTTTTACTAGAATTTGAAAAAAAAGTACAAAATTAGAAAGGACTCTGCAATTAACATTTTATGAATGAGGGAGCCAAGGACCATAACTGTTATAGTTTGCCTCAGACTTTACAAAAGTGAACTTAAAGTTCCTGGTACAGTAGTAACTTTTCCCCCATCATATTATCTCTGTTAAATAAATTAACTTAGAAGACATTTTAGATCTCATATATGCAATGTGATAGAAAATAAAAATGAAACTAAACTACTTGTTGCAAAGAATACTATTGAACAAAATACTTAGGAATGTATTTACACTATTTTAAGTCTCATGTTTATTTTAGCTTAGTATCTCTGGATCCCTGGAATCCCATATGGTTCTTCAAGCACCTCCAATAGTAACTCCTGGGCGCAGAGCTATAATTAACCCCTGAGCATTGCTGGGTGTGGCCCCCCCAAAACAATGCAAAATCAACCAAAAAAAGAAAACCAAAAAATCTAAGGAAATTAATAGTTTCAAGTTTCAAAACCTGGATTACATATTTTACTATTTTAACTAATGGCTATTCTTTATAATAGAATCACAGAAAGGACTCTACTTAAGAAATTTGCAAGTGATTCTTTATTGCATTTGCTTGTACTGCCAACATACATTTATTACACAGATTAGTAGAGTTCAAATTAGGGCTCAGAGTGATAGCTCGATGGGTTGGAGTGTGTGCTTTGCTTTTGGGAGGCCCAGTTTTAATCCCCATCCTAAAGCACCACCAGGAATGAGCACTAAATTGGGAGAACCTCTAAGTGTGTTCTCAAGACTCAGATTTTTCCTTTGGCCACATTTTGAGTGCTTTTGAGTGCAGTCATTTATGATGGGTTACTGCTGTGTTACTGCATAGGAAGTTCTATTGGACAACATTGCTATAAGACGCTGCACTCTTGGAAGTATTTAGGTGTGGTATAAAATTTCCCCTTTCCCTCCAGTGATATTTTAGATGGGAAAAATTGCCTACACATATTCTATATGGTGTCCTACTAGAAATATTTGACTTATGGGAAAAAAGTCTTTCTTGTCCAATTTCAGGTCCAAGTTTTGCAACAAAACTGCATAGCTCTACGTAATTCTATACAGACAACCCAAGAACTATTGAAAGAAGAGCAACAGCTAAAAGGAGAGTTGGAAATTGCTACCTCAAAGCTCCAGTCCGATCTAAGTATGAAAGTAGATGCCAGAAATACTAGATATTTCATTTTTTAAAAACTGTTACAATCACAAACTATTATATCAGCAAATATTATTGGTATTTCTCTTAGGTCTCAATCTGGAAAAATTAGTATTTCCTTTCTGTAAATTGAGAAAGAATGTTGTCAATGAAATAGAATTTTTCATTTTCAAAAAATAAACATTTTTAAGGCTTACTTAAGATTATTTATTTATTTATTTTTGATTTTTGGGTCACACCCAGTGATGCTCAGGGGTTACTTCTGGCTCTGTGCTGCACTCAGAAATTACTCTTGGTAGTGCTTGGGGGACCATAGGGACTGCCGGGGATTGAACCTAGGTTGGCCGCATGCAAGGAAAACGGCCTGCCCTACCGGCTGTACTATCACTCCAGCCCCTTATTTAAGATTTTGTGGACTTGTAAATGTTTGGTTTCTAGAAACCCAAACTAACTACTTAATAATAGGATTTTAATTAGTAAATAAAACCATCAATCCTTTTAACCTGACTTACCATATTTTACTAAACTCTGTTCTTCAAATTATCTATCTATTTTGGTTAACTTGCAGTTGTAGAAATCTATGGTTGAAAGTTACCTCAAAGGTATCTTAAGTGAATCTTAGATTAATCTACTCATGTTACAGATGAGTAAAACATCTCAAAAGGTTATAAAGCTAGGAAAAGTAAGTCTAGACTTGATTCCAGGTTGCTTATAGTATTGCTGCTTTAGTCTGTCAGCCCATGCTTATTATAGTTGTTAATAGACAATTTTAGGGACTGGAGTGATTGTACAGCAGGGAGGGCATTTGCCTTGCACGCGGTTGACCCGGGTTCAATTCCCAGCATCCCATATAGTCCCCAGAGCACTGCCAGGAATGATCCCTGAGTGCAGAGCCAGGAGTAACCCCTGAGCATCACTGGGTGTGACCCCAAAAGCAAAACAAAAAAAAACCCCAAAATAAACAAACTAGTAATGTTTCCCAGAATTATAAAATAAATAAAAAAGTGATATTTAAACTCAGTTCTTCAGACTTGAAGTGTAGTGTTCTGGACAGCTTTTCTCTGCTTTGTGTCCATAATACAGATATGAAATACCAAAAATTAAATGGAATAATTAGAACAGCAGACAGTAATCCAACAGTGTTACTACTGATTTTGGCAGAGTTCTCTTTTTCCTGCTGAGCAGTGAATTACTCTGAAATTACTTCTGGTAATGCTAAAGATAATTTTCTATTTACCTCTAGTTATGCCTACAAGATACATGTTACATGAGCTACAGAGATAGCACAGAAATTAAGGCACTTGACTTGCAAGTCACTGAGGCCCTGAAAATGGTTCAAACCTCCCAACTGTGTATGGTACCCCAAGCACTACCAGATGTGGTCTCTGAACCTCACTGTGAATAGCCTAAAAAAAAAATAACATGTTTCAAGTGGGCCTCATCAAGGAATAAATTCATCCATACCTTTATGTAGTTGTTTAACTCCTCCCTCTTACATCCTACATTTTATGTTCTTGCCACATTACGTGGTGTCATAATAGTCATGTGAGAATGATAGGAAAGTATACCTCATTCTACACAAAGACAGTTCTGTGTACAATCTTCTGTGAAGGTTCTCTCCAGTAAAGTAGGGGAGCAGATACTAAAATACAGTTCTTTCTGCTTGTTTTCCTGCTTGATTTTTTTCATGTTACTTTCTCATTGGATAAATGCTTTATTTTTGAGTTTTATAAAGAATATATAAAAGTGGGAAAGGGAGGGTATACCGGGGATATTGGTGGTGGGGAATGTGCACTGGTGGAGGGATGGATGTTTGATCATTGTGCGATTGTAACCCAAACATGAAAGCTTGTAACTATCTCATGGTGATTCAGTAAAATTAAAAAAAAAAAGAAAGACCATTACAAACGATTAAAATAGTTATTCAAACTAGCATGACGGAAAAAAAGCCTGGTTTTTGGATCATATATGCTTTATATTAATAATAGACTTTATATGAACACAAGTTTTTTTTTTTGTCTTTTTTTTTAGGAGGTTTGGAAATCCTCAGATCCTAGTTTATTTTCTTATTTTTTTTTAAATTAGTGAAACACCATGAGGTACAGTTGTAGACTTACAAATTTTTGTGCTTGGGTTTCAGTTATACAATGATCAAGTACCCATCCCACCACCAGTGCCCATTCTCCACCCCCACCAATCTCAGTATCCCTCCCACCCCCCAACCCCATCCCACCCTGCCTCTGTGCAGGGCACTCCCTTTTGTTCTCTCTCTCCTTTTGGGTGCTGTGGTTTGCAGAAGAGGCATTGGGTGGCAATCATGTTCGGTCTATAGTCTACTTTCAGCATATGCACACAAGTTTTACTATGTTAAAGTATAAAGTTTCTCTAAGATTTAGAAAAGGAATACATTATCCTTATCTCAGTGAACTTAAAAATGTAACTGATATTTTTGGGGGAGGGTCAACCCTGGAAGTACTCAGTACTTATTCTTGGCTCTGCTCTCATGGATCACTTCTGGTGGTGCTTGGGACCATATGAGATACAGGGATTTAATCCTGGATCTATCACCTGCAAGGCAAGTGCCCTATCCACTGTACTAGCTCTCTGGCCCATAACTGGTTTTTAATGATCTTTGGGTTATTTATATTAAACATACACATTAATTAATTAAATGAAAAGGGGTAGGGCAATTTGAAATTCAGCATATACTTAGTGTAAATAAAAACAAAGGTAAAAATATCATAACAGTTTGGTGGCCAGAGCGATAGCACAGCTGTAGGGCGTTTGCCTTGCATGCAGCCAACATGGCCGACCCGAGTTAGATTCCTCTGCCCCTCTTGGAGAGCCCGGCAAGCTACCGAGAGTATCTCACCCCCACGGCAGAGCCTGGCAAACTACCTGTGATGTATTTGATATGCCAAACACAGTAATAAGAAGTCTCATGATGGAGACGTTACTGAGCCTGCTCGAGCAAATCGATGAACAACGGGAGAACAGTGACCGATTAATTAAAGTGATTAATTTTACTAATGAGATAAATATTCTTTTTCTCTGACCAGTAAAATTTTAAATAGGTTGTATAGTTTATATTTTTGATCCTTCATATGTTTAAAATTAGAATTTATTCTGTTGAAATGAGGATTCAGCTTTTGTCTTTGAAAAGTATAGTATATCAGAAATGTGAGTTTTTGCTTTTTTGCTAATTTTCTTTAGAATAATTTAAGTGAAACAAAACTAATATGAAGATAAAACATGTTTGGCTGCATCTTTTGACCGCTGTTACGATTTTTTTTTCTTTTTGGGTTACACCCCGCATTGCACAAGGATTGCTCCTGGCTCTGTACTCAGGAATCACTCCTGACGGTGCTCCGGGGACCATATGGGATGCCAGGGATTGAACCCGGGTTGGCCGAGTGCAAGGCAAACACCCTCCCTGCTGTGCTATCGCTCTGGCCACCAAACTGTTATGATATTTTTACCTTTGTTTTTATTTACACTAAGTATATGCTGAATTTCAAATTGCCCTACCCCTTTTCATACCCTGCTAACTCCCTGCCCCCTCCCCCACCCCCCACCCCCAACAAGCATACAAAATTATCAATCTGGAGCTTCTGAGACCAGAGAATATCTTACTTGCCAACTAAATGTCTAGATTTGGATGCCTTGGAGATAACTTCAAAACACAAGAAATCTTAGGTCACTCTTACTTATTTTGTTCCCCATACTTGTTTCTTGTCCACTATTTTCTAGTCTACCATCCATTTGCTGCCTAAATTTGAATGCTAGACATTTTCCTTGACTCACTGCCTTTACCCAACCAGTCACCACTACGTCCAGACAATCCTCTCTACTTGCTTTTTGCCCCCCTTTTCACCCACATTGTCATTGCCTTAGAGGTGGGTCCATTTTACTCTTTGAGTCTCCTTTGTTGAACCTATTAGAATAATAATACCTCTCTGACAAAAAGCTTTTGAGCCTGTGTGTGTGTGTGTGTGTGTGTGTGTGTGTGTGTGTGTGTGCCACTTTGGTCAAAGAGACTAGTCATCTATGTATAGAGTAAAATGTGATTTTATTTACCTTTGTACGTGATTGTAATGACTGTAGCCTAATTTATCGATAAGTTTATGACAGTTTCTAATTTATAAAGATAGGCTAAAAATACTTTGGTTGTCATTTCTGTAAAATACAGACCAAAAAAGAGTTCCTCTTGGGGAAGATAACATATAACCTTAATTAAGTTATAATAATTATGTGGTCGTATTTGTTTTTAGTTTCTAGGGATGACCTAATTTCCAAGTTGGCTGAAGAAAATAAGGTATGTATCAAGGTTGCAGAGTATACCTTGCTAAGTAGTGTTTCCTTAATCTTGTTGTTTTGTAGTCCTGTTCCTCCTGGAACACTTATTTAAAAAGTTTTGATGTAAAATGAATTGCATATTCACAACTGTTCTAAACTAATTTTTAAAAGAACAATTATTTTCATACAGGTCACCATAATTTGAAATAGGTGAACTAGTAAAAATTATGAGTATTATTTTTAGGTTGTGCCTATAAAAAACTAATATTTATTGATCAAATATCTATGAAATAGAAGCAAAACTAGCAACTTTTTGGTTGTGGTGGTTGTATAGTAATGAACCTTAATTACCATCGAAATGAACACTTAAATATTTTTAAGTGAACTGTAAGTGAACTATACATTTACAATGCTAACTTTTATGCATACTTACCATAATTAAAATGGAAACATTTTCTTCATTTCTAAATTAATTTTAATGTCTATATTCTCTTTGAAGTAATTTCTGGATTCTTTCAGTCTGTGTTATGTGATGTTTATCTTTTTTCAAGTGCTGTTAATGATCCTTTATAGGGAGACGGTTTGAAGTTTATCCTTTCCTATCTTATTGAGCATGTTTTAGGGAAAGACCAACCCATAATTCATATCCCTATTTACTACCTTTCTCAAAGGAAATCAGTTTTGCTTTTTTCCCCCCACAGAGCAAAGTTACTCTCTTCTGCTCCATGGGTACTCTGGTAAAAATGTTTCAACTGTCATAAAAATGTTTCAACAGTTTTAATAAGCTACAGATAGGTTTTGAAGTTTAATATATCATGATTTAAAAAATTATTTTGTAAGATACATAAATATCATGTGAACTGGTGCTGACCAAAATGTTAAACAACATTTGAATAGAGATGCATGAACAAACTCTTAAATACTACCAGAAATTCATTTTTTCTCTATAGAATTTGCAAATATCTTTCAACAAGGAACACAATGAAAATGCATATTTGATGTCTGAAATAGCAGCCTGTCATGAAGCATCAGAAAAAGCACAGGTACTTTCCCTCATTTTTCTGGGTTTTTGTTTGTTTGGTTTTTGTTTTTGGGTCACACCCAGCGAGCAAAGCTCAGGAATAACTCCTGGCTCTGAACTCAGGAATTACTTCTTGGAGGTGCTCGGGGTACCATATGGAATGATGGAGATCAAATCCAGATCATTCGCATGCAGGGCTGACACTCTACCTGCTGTACCATTGCTCCAGCCCAAACATTTTTCGGGTTTTTGATGCTGTTTGGTTTTGTTTAATTAAACAATAAGAACCATTAATCCTGATCGTATAAATTTAGACCATTGTGATCATCCAGTTTTTTCAGATTACAATTCAACTGCATACATTTCTTATTTTGTTCATCAAATTTCATAACTGCTAAATTATACACTAGGTTATACTTTACCTTTGATTTATTTACTCATTAAACATTTTTTCTTTTCCCCAGTGAACTTCTGAGCATTTCAGTGCCAAGGACTTTGTATTTCTCTATAGTGAATAGCAATAGCATAGGAGGTTCCTAATGCTTGCTACATTTGGAATAACATGTAATCATTTTCTATAATATGGTAGTTCCCAAATTTAGCTGTTACACAAACAAACACACACACACATACATACATACACACGGGTATGAATTAGAATCATCAAGTGTGCAGGTAAATGTCATATATTATAGGTTCCAGTTAAAGGATATTTATTACTTAAAAACTTTTGGTTAGAAATTATATTACTTCAATATTAGGATTATAATATTCTGTGGTCTTTAAAATGATAAAAACATAAAATAAATGCCCTCGATAAATAATAAAATATACATCACTTATGTCTTCAAATTAATTTTTCATTTAATTAATTTTATTTTCTTGTATCATTGTTTAGTGGTTTTTTTTTTTCCTGTTAGCCCACTAAACTATTTTTCTTCTTCTTTGAACTGGTTCATGGTAATGTAAGATCCTTTTCAATTTACACTGTAAATACTGCTAATTAAATTTTTCACAGAATGCAAATTTCAAAGTATTTTAGAAGGATTACGAACTTAATCTATGATAGATCTGTTGAAGAAAAGATTTTTGTTTTATTTTAGTTTTTTTAGTTTTGTGATTTGATACAATCATGCATTCTGCATTGGTAGTGAAGAAACATGCATATTTTGTGTATTATCAGCTAAGCTACTCTTAATGTTCATCGTCAATTTGAGAATAGATTTGTGTCACATTGGTTAGGTGCTTGATAAGGTGAATTCTACTCTGCAGAATGTTGTGCTGTAACATTCATGATTTCCCTTTTGTTTCTCTCTTTTTCCCCCTTTTTTGGTTAAGCAAGGTAGTTTTTATTTTTTTTAATTGTAATGTATTGAGAAAACTGTGAGAGGAGAGAAAAAGGATAAATGTGTTCATGAGAGAACCTGGGCAGCAAAAAAGCACAGAGACAAATAAAAGTTAAGATACATGTTCAAGGGAGAACACAGACCAAGCTCTCTTGTTTCATCAGCAATTGCTTGTGTTTTTTTAGAAATATTTGAAATTTTATGATAGGCTAGTTAAATATAAATTCAGGAGAAACTAAATAAGTTCGAAACATAGCAAAATATGATTTAATCATACAAAATGTCACATAAAATAATTGAAAATATCTGACTTGTCATATATATTATTTTAGGTTTTGAACAATCAACTGACTAACCAGTGTTCACAGTTGAATTGCATGCTTCAAAATCTTAAGAAGGAAAATGCCAGAATTATTGCTGACCATCAAGCCATTTTGCAGGTATTAACACCAATTTCCTTTTTTTAAAAATTTAATGAATCATAGTTTGATCAGTCTTTAAATTAAGACCTTTATTGACCTTTTAAACAACCATTCAACTGTTTTCAGAAGGACTGATTTAATCCAGAGAGATAATCAAGTCTATTGAGGGTTTAACAATGCCTGCACGGCAAAACTTGGCAAGCTACCCGTGACATAATCGATATGCCAAACACAGTAACAAATGTCACAATGGAGACGTTACTGAGCCCACTTGAGCAAATCGATGAACAACGGGAGGACAGTGACAGTGAAAGTGACCACTTGTATGTAAATTTCATGACTTCATCTTTTCTAACAGCTGCATAGTACTCCATTGTGTAGATGTACCAAAGTTTCTTTAACCAGTCATCTGTTCTTGGGTACTCGGGTTTTTTCCAGATTTTGGCTATTGTGAATAGTGCAACAATGAACATAGAAGTGCAGATGTCATTTCGACTGTACTTTTTTGCCTCTCTGGGATTATTTCCCAGGAGTGGTATTGCTGGGTTGAATGGGAGCTCAATTTCTAATTTTCTGAGAATTGTCCATACTGTTTTCCAAAAGGGCTGAACCAGTCAGCATTCCCATTAGCAGTGAAGGACAGTCCCTTTCTCGCCACATCCACGCCAACACCAGTTGCTTTTGTTCTTTTGGATGTGGGCCAGTCTCTGTGGTGTGAGATGATATCTCATTGTTGTTTTGATCTGCATCTCCCTAATGATTAGTGACGTAGAGAATTTTCTCATATGTCTTTTAGCCATTCGGATTTCTTCTTTGGGAAACTTTCTGTTCATTTCATCACCCCATTTTTTGATAAGGGTTATATGTTTTCTTCTTGTAGAGTTCAACCAGTGCTTTGTATAACCAGTGCTTTGTATATCCTTGATATCAACTCTTTATCAGATGGGTATTAGGTAAATATCCTTTCCCATTCTGTAGACTGTCTTTGTATTCTGGTTATTGTATCTTTTGAGGTGCAGAAGCTTCTTAATTTAAGATAGTCCCATTTGTTTATCTGTTTCCACTTGGTTGGTCAGTGGAGTGTCGTCTTTGAAGATACCATTAGCTTCAAATTGTGGAGGGTTTTGCCGACCTTTTCTGCAATGTACCCTATGGATTTTGGCCTGATGTTGATCTGACTTTTGTGCATGGTGTTAAGTCGAGGTTTAAGCCCATTTTTTTTGGCATGTATTTGTCCAGTTATGCCAGCACCATTTGTTAAAGAGGTTTTCCTTGCTCCACTTCACATTTTTTGCTCCCTTATCAAAGATTAGATGTACATACATTTGGGGTTGTGTGTACGGATATTCCAGCCTGTGCCATTGGTCTGTGGCCCTGCCTTTGTTCCAGTACCATGCTGTTTTAATTATTACCGCTTTGTAGTAGAGTTTGAGGTTGGGGAGGGTGATGCCTCCCCATCTATTTTTCCCAAGAATTGCTTTAGCTATTCGTGGGCTTTTTTTGTTCCATATGAATTTCAGGAGTGCTTGATCTATTTCTTTGAATCTGTATAATGCTTTCGGGAGTACTGCCATTTTGACGATGTTAATTCTTCCTATCCATGAGCAGGGGATATGTTTCCATTTCCTCATGTCCACTTTTATTTCATGGAGTAACGTTTTGTAGTTTTCATTATAGAGGTCCTTTGCCTCTTTAGTTAGGCTGATTCCAAGGTATTTGATTTTCTGGGGCACAATTGTGAAGTGGATTATTTTTTTCATGTCACTTTCCTCTCTCTCGTTATTTGCATATAGGAAGGCCATGGATTTTGGGGCATTGATATTATAACCTGAGACTTTACTATACATGTCTATTGTTTCTAGGAGTTTCTTGGTAGAGGATTTAGGATTCTTGAGATATAGTATCATATTATCTGCGAATAATGAGAGCTTGATTTCTTCCTTTCCTATCTGGATGCCTTTAATGTCTTTTTCTTGCCTAATCACTATTGCAAGTACTTCCAGTACTATGTTAAACAGAAGTGATAATAGTGGGCATCCTTGTCTTGTCCCTGATCTTAGAGTAAAGGCCCTTTAGTTTTTCCCCATTGAGGATAATGCTTGCCATGGGTTTGTTGTAGATTGCTTTGACTATCTTGAGGAAAGTTCCTTCAAAACCCATTTTCGTGAGAGTTTTTATCACAAATGGGTGCTGGATCTTGTCAAAATCTTTCTCTGCTTCTATTGATATGATCATATGGTTTTTATCTTTACTTTTGTTAATATGATGGGTTATTTTGATTGATTTCCGAATGTTAAACCATCCTTGCATACCTGGGATGAATCCCACTTGGTCGTGGTGTATGATCTTTTTGATGAGTTGTTGGATTCTATTTGCTAATATTTTGTTGAGGATCTTTGCATCCGTGTTCATCAGGGATATTGGCCTGTAGTTTTCTTTGTTAGTGGTATCTTTGTTTGCTTTTGGTATTAGGGAGATATGTGCCTCATAGAAGCTGTTTGGGAGAGTTCCTGTTTTTTCAATTTCCTGGAAAAGCTTGAGGAGAACTGGCAAAAGGTCTTCTTTAAATGTTTGGAAGAATTCACTAGTGAATCTGTCTGGTCCTGGGCTCTTGTTTTCGGGAAGACTTTTGATTACCACTTCAATTTCCTTGATATGAATGGGTCTATTCAGGTATCCCAAGTCTTCCTGGTTCAATCTTGGGAGATTATAGGAATCCAGGAATTTATCCATTTCTTTTAGGTTCTCTTGTCTCATGGCATACAGACTCTCAAAGTAGTCTCTGATGATCTTTTGAATTTCATTGGTTTCTGTTATGATATCCCCTTTTTCATTTCTATTTCGGTTTATTTATTTATTTTCGGTTTATTAGGATTCTCTCTCTTTCTTAGTGAGTGTTGCTAGTGGTTTATCAATCTTATTTATTTTCTCAAAGAACCAGCTCTTGGTTTCATTGACCTTTAGAATTGTTTCTTTGGTTTCCATGTCATTAACTTCTGCTCTAAGTTTTATTATTTCTTTCCTTCAGCCAATTTTGGGTTCCTTTTGTTGGTCTTTTTCTAAGATCTTGAGCTGTGTGGTTAGGTTATCTATGTAGGCCCTTTCTTCTTTCCTTAGGAATGCTTGCAACACTATAAATTTTCTTCTTAGCACGGCTTACCTGCATCCCATAGATTCTGGTAGCTCATGTCTTGATTTTCATTTGTTTCCAGTTATCTTTTTTTTTTTTTTAAGAAAATGTTTTTTTTTTTTTAATTAGTGAGACACCATGAGGTACATTTGTAGACTTACAAATTTTTGTGCTTGGGTTTCAATTATACAATGATCAAATACCTATCCCTCCACCAGTGCCCATTTCCTACCACCACGGATCCCAGTATCCCTCCTACCCCCCATCCCCCCCCCATCCCACCCTGCCTCTGTGGCAGGGTACTCCCTTTTGTTCTCTCTCTCCTATTGGGTGTTGTGGTTTGCAAAAGAGGCAATGGGTGGCAATCATGTTTGGTCTATAGTCTACTTTCAGCGTGCTTCTCCCATCCTGGGAGGATCCTCCAGGTATCTTTTGATTTCATCTTTGACTTCCTTCCTGACCCACTCATTGTTCAACATTGAGTTGTTTAATTTCCAGGTGTTTGATTTGTTTCTCGATGTCTTTGTGTGATTCACTTCTATCTTCAGTGCATCGTGGTCTGAAAAGATTGTTGATACTACTATCTTTCTGATTCTATTGAGGTATGTTTTGTGGCCTAGCACATAGTCTATTTTGGAAAATGTTCTGTGTGCACTGGAGAAGAATGTGTATTCTTTCTTTTTGGGGTGTAAAGCCCTATATAGGTCTATTAGCCCTCTCTCTTCTATTTCTCCCTTCAAAGACAATGTTTCCTTGTTGAGTTTTGTTCTTGTTGATCTATCCAGAGGTGATAAGGCGATGTTGAAGTCTCCAACTACTATTGTATTGTTAGCAATGAGGGACTCTTTCTTTTAAAGATTAGCAATTATGTATCCTAAAAGACTTATGGGAAGTCTTATTGTTCCTTTTTCCTCACTGATTTACAACGTTATAGAGATTAACTTCAGATTTCTATACATGTATAATGATGACTGCCCCCACCCAAGAGACCTCTTTACACATTCTGCCCATCCCCCTCAATGTGGTAACCAAGGTCGTTTTCACCTGGCTTAGGAGTTAGTTTTGTTTTTCCCCCAGTTCTTTTGTTACTCATATTCCACATAAATGTGAAACACTCTTGTATTGTCTTTCACTTCCTTATTTCACTTAGATTAAGCATCTCATTTTATTTTATAGATTAAGCATTTTATCATTTTTTAAAAATTTATTTATTTATTGAATCACTGTGGGAAAAGTTACAAAGTTTTAAGGTTTAGGTCTCGGTCATGCAAATATCAAACACATTTCCCTTTACCAATACTTATTTTTCACCACGAAGAACCCCAATAAACCCCCCCCCAATGCCCGTGAGGCAGATGAATTCTAGTTAACACTCTATCTACTTTGACTAGATTCATTGTTTCGATAAAAGAGGCACCATTATTATTTAAGAGTTTACCCTCCCGCCCCCAATCAGACATGCTGAAAAAGCATTGTGAAATGATTTGCTTTCTACAGCTGGGTTCAAGAATTAAATGATGTCCCACAGCTGCAATAGCGGCTGCGTGGTTTTGGGTTTCTGCTATTTTACTTATTAACCCTGGAAGTATTTCTACTGAGAGTCAGATAATTAAGAGATTGGTTTCTGCTCTAGAGTCATGGCCGTGCTGGAGGGCCGCTTGTGGGGGGCAACTGGTGACCTCGGTAGAGCATGAAGGACGGGCCGGAACGCCCCTCTTCCCATGAGGTTTTAGTCGCCCCATCACCCCCGGCTCATACCTGCTCTCCAAAGGCTCCCATGCAGCCGCCATCTTTCTTTCCAGAGGCAAGCATTTTATCTTAAATGGAAAAGTAGTAATTCATTGTTTCTACCACAGCTTCTTTGTATACTGATCTGTTTCTAGGGTTGTGAATTGATTCTGTATTTTGGTAATCATGAATAATACTGCTATAATCACAGGATATATGCATACATCATTTTAAATTAGTTTTTATATTTTTTGGTTATATGCATAAGAGTGATACTGCTGGCTTATGTGGAATTTTTCTTTTTTTTAAAAGAAATCTCTATATTGTTTTTTAGAGTTTTTATTAACTTACACTATCACAAAGAGTAACCAAAATACTTTTCTATCTATATCCTTATTTTCCAATCATTTTGACACAAACTATTCTCATTAGGTGAGGTTTTATATCATTTTAGTTTTTTAATTGTTTTTCCCTAAAATTTGATGGTGAGTAATTTTTTTATGTGTTCTGGGTTCATTTTTATGTTTTCTTTGGAAAAGTATCTATTTAGATCTCTTGCCTATGCGTGTTTTATTGAATGGGATGCTTTTTGTTGCTGAGTTGTATAAGATCTTTGTATCTTTTGGATAGTAACACCCTGTCAGTTTGTGATGTGCAAATATCTTCTTCTAGTTGTTTGCCTTTTTGTGTTTTCTTCTGTTTTTGACAAGGAAAGGGAGAATACTGGCCATACTCAGTAAAGCCAAAGTGGTACTAAAGATGGAACTTGGGGCCTCACCTATCACAAGCCATGAGCTCTGACCCACTGAACTCTTTCCCTAGCCCTGATTTTGCTTCTGTGGCCATTTCTTTTATTGTGTAAAGAGGTTTTTATTTATAAGACACTGTCATTTTATTTTATTTTTTTTTAATTTTTTTTTCACTTTTATATTTTTTTCCCTTTATTTTATTTTATTTTTTTTAAAGTTGTAGATTTACAATTTTTTGTGCTTTGGTTTCAATTATACAATGATCAGATACCCATCCCTCCACCAGTGCCCATTTTCCACCACCATGGATAATATCCCTCCCACCCCCATCCCCCCATCCCCCCTGTCTCTGTGGCAGGGCAATCCCCTGTGTTCTCTCTCTCCTTTTGGGTGTTGTGGTCTGCAAAAGAGGCATTGAGTGGCAAACATGTTCAGTCCATAGTCTACTTTCGACATGCATCTCCCCTCCTGGGAGGATCCTCCAAACATCCTTTATTTGGTGCTCCCTTCTCTATCTGAACTGCCCTTTCCTCTAGGATACCCGGCTGGCCTCTAAGTTATGGAGTAATCCTCCTGGTGCTGATCTCAGCTATTCTTGGGTATTAATCTCCTACTTTGTTACTTTATATCCCCCAGATGAATGCAATCTTTCTATGTCTATCCCTCTCTTTCTGACTCATTTCGCTTAGCATGATACTTTCCATATTGTACCACTTGTATGTAAATTTCATGACTTCATCTTTTCTAAGAGCTACATAGTACTCCATTGTGTAGATGTACCAAAGTTTCTTTAACCAGTCATCTGTTCTTGGGCATTCAGGTTTCTTCCAGTTTCTGGCTATTGTAAAGAGTGCTGCAATGAACAAACAAGTGCAGATGTCACTTCGACTATACATTTTTGCCTCTCTGGGATATATTCCCAGGAGTGGTATTGCTGGGTCAAATGGGAGCTCAATTTCTAATTTTTTGAGAATCGTCCATACTGTTTTCCAGAAGGGCTAAACCAGTGGACATTCCCACCAACAGTGAAGGAGTGTCCCTTTCTCGCCACATCCACGCCAGCATCGGTTGCTTTTGTTCTTTTGAATGTGGGCCAGTCTCTGAGGTGTGAGATGGTATCTCATTGTGGTTTTGATCTGCATCTCCCTGATGATTAATGATGTAGAGCATTTTCTCATGAAGACACTGTCATTTTAATTTTTAATTTTTTGCTTGTATTTCTGTTGCCACTGATTAGGAGTCTCTGAAGTTGAAGTTTCTGGATATAACCTATGATTTCTTGTTTTGTAGTCTAAGATTTAATATATAAGCCTTTAATACATTTTGAGTTAATTTTTAGTATGGTGTTCATAATCTAGTTTCATGGGTTTTTTTGGTTTTCGGGGTTTTTTTTTTACATGTGGTTGTTCAGCACTCATTTATTTCTCTACTTAATGATCTTGGCCTAGTTATCAAGGGTGGATTTAGTTCTAAACTCTATTCTTTTTATTTATTTATTTATTTTTAATGGATCACTGTGGGGTAGAGTTTCGGACTTACAAATTTTTGTGCTTACATTTCAGTCATACAATGATCAAGTGCCCATCTCTCCACCAATGCCCATTCTCCACCACCAATGTTCCCAGTATCCCTCCTATACCACCCCACCATTCCCTCCCACCCTCTCCCCACTCTGCCTCTGCGACAGGCACATTCCCTTTTACTCTCTCTTTTCTTTAGGGTGTTATGGTCTGCAGTGCAAGTATTGAATGACCATCTTGTTTGGTTTATAGTAGACTCTATTCTATTCTATTGGGCTGTGTGCTCATTTGTGCTACTTTTTCTGTTACCGTGCTGTTTTTATTATTATTGTTTTGCAATAAAGTTAAAGTCTGGGGCATTTTTGCAACTTCTTGCACCTCCACAAATTACTATTTTTTTTACAATTGCAACATTTTTATGTCTTTTATGTATCTTCATAGTAATTGTTAATAATTACTGTGTGTTCCACTGTAGCACTGTAGCACTGTCCTCCCATTGTTCACCTATTTGCTTCAGCGGTCCAGTAATATCTCCATTGTGAGACTTGTTACTATGTTTGGCATATTGAATATCAGTAAGCCACGGGTAGCTTGCCAGGCTTTGACATGCAGGCAATATACTCTTGGTAGCTTGCCGGGCTCTCTGAGAGGGATGGAGGAATCGAACCCAGGTCAGCTGGACTGACCACGTGCAAGACAAATGCCCTACTGCTGTGTTATCACTCCTGCCTATAAATGTGTGTTGCAAAGTTTTATAAATTATAGGTAGATGGTATGCTTATGAAAATATTGTGTTTTGATTACGCTAAAATGGTGAGTCAGGAAATATAAATTATATGAAACAGTTTGTAGCATTTCTATTGTAAGAGTATCTTGATGCAGTTTCAGCTACCCTCAAATAATTCACACAAAATAATTAAACATGGTGATTCCTGGAGAGTCAGATTATATGAAAGAGGATAGAGTTGGAAAGTGGAGAGATCTTTTAATTTTACATGCACTGATATCATTTTACTTTAAAACAAAACATATTGAAAATCTAATATTCAAAATTATTCTTTATGTAATTTTATTTATTTAAAAATATTTTCAGGAATTGAAGTACTAGTACTATTCAAGCAGTAGCAGAGTACATGCTTTGCAGGTGTGAAATGCTAGGTCTGATTCCTATCATCACATGCTGAATACTGCCTGGTAAAGACCCTGGCCCCTTTTCCCAAGTGTAGCCCCCAAATATTGTCAGCAATACAGCTGTAACAACAAGATCATGTTAAACATTAAAAAACATAGTGTCAGGCTAAATAGAAAATGCATCCCTGACTATTGTCTGATAGTGCTAAAATGATAGGATCATGATCAACTAGGTGGTGACAGAGAAAGTTTGGCCTTAAATAAATTGATTTTTAAATGTTTTGTTTCTATAATTGTCTTTTATAAGTAAGTCATTATCTTTCGTTATTTTAGTTATTTTGAAGAATACCCTATTTTCATGATCATGGTATCTCCCCTGCCAGGTAAGCACAGTGGGTAGGGCGTTTGCCTTGCACGCGGCCGAGCCGTGTTCGATTCCTCTGCCCCTCTTGGAGAGCCCAGCAAGCTACCGAGAGTCCAGCAAGCTACCGAGAGTATACGGCAAATCCTGGCAAGCTACCCACGACATATTCAATATGCCAAACACAGTAACAAGTCTCACAGTGGAGACATTACTGGGCCCGCTTGAGGAACAACAGGAGGACGGTGCTACAGTGCTACAGTACTACCCTATTTTATTTGACTTTCTGGCATCTCAGGTTTTAATTTATTTCTAACTCAGGTAGAACAGAAAATGATGACCCAGACATTTCAACAACAAAACTTACTGCTGGATGCAGCTCAGGCCAGTATCACAAATGAACTACAGACTGTTCAGAATGAGAAAAAACAACTGCAAGAACATCTGTAAGTAAATTGTGGGTAACATCTTAAGCATCTTTTGTTCTTACCTGTGTATTCCTTATTATTAATGAAAACATTTAATTCTGCATTTTCTGGGACATGTACAAAGATAAAATGAAGACAACTCTTAAGTAACTAGTTTTGTTACAACATTCTATTGCTCTCAGGCAGAAGAAATATTTGATAATAACATTTAGTCTATTAAGAAATCTCATCTAGATTTTATGCATCTATTCTCTTCCTGGAGGGACCATTTAATTATTGAGCATAATGAATGTACCCAGAAGGCCCAGGATGCCGAGAAGAAGACAGCTATGCAAAAAGAACTGCTGGAGTCAACTATTGCAAGAATGAGAGCTGAATTGGAGACATCAATGCAAGAAAGGGAGTCTTTGGTAGAAGAGAAAGACAGATTTCAAAGAGAGGTATGTAGTTGCAGGCTTATGTTACCGCCTGGTTGTGCTGGTGCTATTGTTTTAAAATTGTATTTTTACTTCAAAAAGCAAGAGCAATTACAAGCCAGATGCAGCTGTAGGATGTCTAATTTGCCCACAAAAGAAATATTTAGTTACAGGCTAAATGGCTCCAGAATGAAATACAAAAACCTTCACACACTTCCCTCTTATTGTGGTGGGAAGGTGCTCAGTGGTGGGATTGGTGTTTGAGTATTATCTGCAATAAACTATTGTGAACTACTTTATGAAAATAAAACATATAAAAATTGATGAAATCTTTAGGTGGATAACCCATAACTTTTAGCAAGTGAAATAGTCTGTGCCCAACAGTAAGCCCTTACACAGCATTAGTAATTGTTAACTAATAATTGACACACCCACATTCAAATATCAGATTTGGTTTTATCTTCCTTGAAAGGACAACAGTGGGTGTTAAGGGGACAGCTCTGTTTTTCTTGTTAGGAAGGAAATCAGAATCTGACATGCAGAAGTGTCTATCTAATTCCAGGGTTATTTTGGAAGTCTGCTCTACTTCAGAGACTGCCTGAGTGGCCCTTTTATGAGAGGATGTGCTATCTTTGCAGTGTAGGTCTTAATGCAAGGTGTGTGTTTTTACTAGAGCCTGTCAGCTGCTTTAAAATTGACCCAGTTCATTCATTTTTTTCTATGCAGATTGATAAAACAAAAAAAGAAATGGCAGAAGAAAAATGCAAATTGGAAAAAGAATTAGATAAACACAAGGTAGTCCACCTTTTATTAATATTTTACCATATTTTACCACTTGTAACTGAAGAGTTTCCTTCTATGTCAACTTCATGAGGAGATCAGCTATTTTGTTGATTTACAAGAAGTGGGGCAATAAAGAACCCATGGAGCTGGTTGTAACTCAGAGTTCTCTTTTCAATCACCAGTGCTTAAGGTCGTTTCTAGAGAACTTTGTTGGCTAAGCATCTGGTATTTGCCTCGATCATCACTGCCTCTGGCCCAGTATCCACCAAATAGTTTTACTAGGATATCCCCTGAAAGTGTACTAGCTAATGGATTTATGGGATTGTAATTCTGGTAATGCTGTTTTTAATAAAAAGCTAATTCAGGCTTCCTAAATTTCTATTAGCACTTGCTACTTTATCTGCAAGTTACTTTTTTCTGGGTTCTAAGGTGATAGCATGGCCAAAAATACCAAAATACTTCTTACAGATTACAACAAAAACAATCCTTAAAACATTGCTATTTATATTTCAAATTTTTTTCCTCTCAGGGAGTTTATTCATGAAACTACTTAATTTCCCTCCTAAAATATGGATTGTTCCATCAGTTTAACACAGCCCAGGATTTCTGTCTTCATAATAAAAGATGAAGCTTAGAACTGGATCACTTGTCCCTTTCTCTTTTTATTGCCTCCCAGTTCAAAATGCGTGCGTCTCTTAAAGGCCAGCATTCTCTTAGATCTGCAGTTGGGCTCCACATATTCAATTCTCAACACAATCTTCTTTGTAGTTTTAGCCTTTTTCTGGAAAATAGGCTTAGTCTGACCTCCGTAACCACTCTGCTTCCTGTCATAACGATGCCTTCTCTGGACATACAGAGAATCCTTGCCCTTCTTGTACTGTGTGACTTTGTGGGGCTGATGCTTGCCATATTTCTTACAAAAAGTCCGGCAAGTTTTTGGTACGTTCACCATACTTGTGGTACCAGTGTCCACGAAGAAAGGAAGCTATATTTCAAAATTTTAAGAGAGTAAAGATTATCACTGTCATTTAGTGACTTTATCTGGAGCATCAAAGAGTAACTCATACAATAAATTTATATATTTACTAAGCTTTGGGGCTGGAGCGATAGTACAGCGGGTAGGGCGTTTGCCTTGTACGCAGCCAACATGGCCGACCCGAGTTCGATTCCTCTGCCCCTCTCGGAGAGCCCGGCAAGCTACCGAGAGTATCTCGCCCGCATGGCAAAGCCTGGCAAGCTCCCCGTGATGTATTCGATATGCCAAAACACAGTAACAAGCCTCACAATGTTACTGGGCCCACTTGAGCAGATCGATGAACAACGGGAGGACCATGACTGTGACTAAGCTTTGACAATTTCTTAGCTTCTGTATCAGATAAATAGCACTTCTGTTAACATATATAGATATATTAAAGTAAAGTAAGTAAAGGTCCTCCCGTTGATCATTGATTTGCTCGAGCAGGCCCAGTAACGTCTCCATTGGAGACTTTGTTGTTACTGTGTTTGGCATATCGAATACATCACGGGGAGTTTGCCAGGCTCTGCCGTTAGGGCGAGATACTCTCGGTAGCTTGCCGGGCTCTCCGAGAGGGGATAAATATATTAGATTTTAGGAATTGGGGAAAGAAGAAAGCCAAACTCTGAATCAGAGTTCAGATTGTATTAACAAAGCTGGAAGTGCCCCTGCTAATTTACTCACACATGTCTGGTGATTTGAAAATTGTTGACCCTATATATTTGAATACACTTGATTTCAACATAAGGGGACTTTCCTGGTGCCTATTGGACCGCATGTATACTTTTTATCTTATTTAGTTTGGTGTGGGGCTACATCTAGCAGTGCTCAGAGGCTACTCCTGAGTTGGGGTCACTTCTGGCAGTGCTCAGGGAAGTGGTCAGTGTAAGCTGGCGATGAGCCAGCCTCCTGCATGCATCCAAGCATTCCAACCCTTTGCGCTATCTCTAGCCCCCAAATAAGAAAATAAGTTTTAAAATAATCATTGTATTATTAAATCTCAGGTCTGCTATATTAAAGGCAGGGAAACAATGTTAATAAGATTTTTTGTAGTTACAAATATACTTTGAAACATGATTATATTTTTGTATCATACATAGATTTTTCTCCTTTTGTTTTTCAAAGGAAGACACAAATTCATTAACCAGCAAACTGCAAGTTTTAGAGGAAAAAAATAAACTCTTGACAGATCAAATGACTTCTCTAGAACTTCAAAAAGTGCCTTCAGATTACCATGGGGTGGGTATAAAAAGGTCAGTTTAGTGTATGAATTAGTGACTTATGAGTGTAAATAAAGTCAAGTGTCAGAGATGGATTCTCTTCAGTGTATTTTCATTTCAATTTAATTTCAGTTCTAAATATCTCATGCTAAAATTACAGAAATCCATACACTTTAGCTTTTTGGTTTTGTTTGTTTGTTTTTGTTTTGTTTTGTTTTGTTTTGTTTGGGCCACACCTGGTAAGGCTCAGGAGGAGTTACTCCTGGTTTTGCACTCAGGCAGTGTTCAGGAGACCAGATAGGATGCTGGGGATTGAATCTGGGTTGGCTGCATGTGAAGCAAACATCCTACCTACTGCACTATTTCTCTGGACCCTGTTCAAAATTTTTTGTTTCGATGAACCACACTCAGCAGTGCTCAGGAGTTACTCCTGGCTCTACACTCAGGACTCATTCCTGGCAAGGCTCGGAGGACCATATGGAATGCCTGGGATCAAACTAGGGTTGGCAGCATGCATGGCAAGCTCCTTACCTACTGTATACTATTGCTCTAGCCCAGAAATCCATACACTATTTAAACAACAGGGTGTTTTTTTCTTTTAAAAAAAAAAGATTTACAGCAGTCATTAAACAGCTACCTGCATAAATAAACTGTAATCTTGAAAAATGCATGTTTAATATATTAAAATATTCTCTCTTCCATAAATTGAGGAGACACATTTAGTTTCCTCTTCTTATAGTTTATCTTATTATATAGTCAGTAATAAGTCTGTATTTTTAAAGCTGTTTGACAAGATCAGTGCCTTAAAAATAAAAGATAGTTTTTAAATATCTTTAAGTAAAGGGGATTTAAAGAGATAATGATCATCTGTTATGCAGCTAATAAGTTTCTTTATGCTTACTTGTGTGAATACTTGAAAAAATGATTCATTATTGTTTCCATAATATGCAAATAATATTTATAAATTCCATAGAATGCACTGAATTTAGTTTATATTTATCTAAGCTATTTTTTCAACCTCTATCATAAACTGTTAATTACTTCAACTATGAAAAATTACAGACAGTATATCTGAATCCTTTTGTATTTTTATGACTTGGGTCCAGAGCTTCCAAGTTTTAGTTTTGTCTATGACTTTGGGAACAACCCTTAACTTTGATCCTGTTTCTTATGTGGGGGGAGTATTACTTCTTCTCAAACAGTATTTTGGGAGACTTGGGGTTTAGTGAGTCTCCACCAACTGCGGTTGGAATTATTCAGGCTCCTAATGTGGTACCTGGGTGCCAGGCCCACCCCAGCAGTACTTGGGAGACCTCCAGGCTGCACCCAGCAATACTCAAGAGGATCATGTGGTTCCAGGAATCAAACCAGCTGTGTGCAAGGCCTGTGCCTTATTCCCTGTACTATCTCTCAGAGCCTATCTTTCTTTCTTTCTTTCTTTCTTTCTTTCTTTCTTTCTTTCTTCCTTCCTTCCTTCCTTCCTTCCTTTTTTTTTTTTTTTTTTTTTTTTTTTTTGCTGTTTGGGTCACATCCAGTGGTGCTCATGGGTTACTCCTGGCTCATGCACTCAGGAATTACTCCTGGCAGTCTGGGGGACCATATGGGATGTTGGGAATCGAACCCGGGTCAGCTACGTGCAAGGCAAATGCCCTACCTGTTGTACTCTTGCTCCAGCCCCTCAGAGTCTGTTTCTCAATCTGTCAAATTGCTATTTTTTTAAAGACTACATTCAGCATGCTTCTCCCACCCAAAAGGAGAGAGAGAACAAAGGGGAATGCCCTGCCATAGAGGTAGGGTGGGATGGGGGGGATGGGGGGTAGGAGGGATACTGGAATCCATGGTGGTGGGAAATAGGCACTGGTGGAGGGATGGGTATTTGTTCATTGTATAATTGAAACCCAAGCACAAAATTTGTAAGTCTACAACTGTACCTCATGGTGTCTCACTAATAAAAAGAAATAAATTAATAAATAAATAAATAAAAATAAATAAAAATCCTCTGGAAAAAAAGGTTATATTCATAATGGAATGAGGAGCAGCTAACATTAAGTATTGAAACTAACCCAGAGCAAAGGTTTTTAAATTCTTGTAGAAGTGATGAGTAGCATGAGCTTTAATTTACAGTGCTGACACAGACTACCACACTAGCTTTGCTTGAAGGCTAAACTTTTTTCATACATCTGTTTACATTTGCTCCCTCCGGACAACCTCATCTCAACTCTGCCTGATTCTTTTTTAATCATCTCTTCTTTCTCCCACCCAAGTGGCAGACCTGCGACCTTACCATATTAGTGAATGACAGATCTTGCCAGGAATTTAGTCATTGTTGATTTTCCTGTGACCTTACCATATTAGTGAATGACAGAACTTGCCAGCGATTTAGTCATTATTGATTCTTGCCTCCTAAACAAACCAGTAATGCCTCTCAGAGACAATCCAAACCTCACTTCCAACGTGCAGTTCTGTGTCCACATAAAATCTTTTCTGACTAAGTATATATGGATACCAGTGTTTATATTCCAAGGCATTTTTAATAATCTTAGCAGCTTTATTAAACCTATTGTCATTTAGTGCTAACAGTATACTTTTGTTACATGAGAGCGGAAACTCTCAATAAACTACCCTTCTAGTATAACAAATCAACCCCCTTCTAGTATAACTTACACTGTTTTTTGATATCTATATCAATATATCAATATATATATACAAATGCCCTACCCGCTGTACTATTGCTGTAGTTTTTCATTACTAAGGGAAGATTATGCTTCAGCTTAAATTACTATTTTAAAATTAAACTATCTCTGTACTTGGGAGAACCAGTGTAAAAACAAAAAACACTGGAGAGATACCACTGTTTCATACATGCCACTTCATACATCTGGAATCAAAGAGTCCTGAATTTTCAACTCTTGGCTCTGTTGAATCACACCCGGTGGTGCTCAGCTTACTGCTGTACTATTTGATCTGGGCAGGCTCTGAATACTTATGGCCTCTTCATCGTTGGGATCTTCCCCAGCTATGTAATTCACACAGCACACCATGCTTTCCCATGTGCGTGTATTACTAAGAAATAATAGATCAATTAGAAACTGATCTGTTCATGCATCTTTCTTCACGCTCTTCTAATGTGAGAATGGTAGTTCTTACTTCCACATCTTAAGATCATTCATTGCTTCCTGGTCTTCAATATATTATAATCACTATCATTTTTCTTTTCATGCTGTTTTTCAGATGATCTCTTAGTGTCTGTTTTGCTCTGCACTTTAATACTGTTTGTAGTATAATGCTGTTTATTTAAGCAAGGGTTAAGATCGGGTCTGTTTCCATAACTCAGTGTCTTAGTCACTTTTTACATAAGTGGTCTGTCTCCAGTGTTTTTTGTTTTTCCACTGGTTCTCCCAAATACAGAGATGGTTTAATTTTAAAATAGTAATTTATGTTGAAGCATAATCTTCCCTTGGTAATGAAAAAATGATTTTTTTGTTTCTCATAAATTCTATGTCGAATATAAAATTTTCTCCTCCACTTGGATGGTTTTCACTTACTGATGCATTAACATTCTCTTGAGTGGCATAAGGAAAATTTGTTTTTAAAGTATATTTAAAACATTAATGGAATTTCTCTATACCTATGCCTAACTAGAAGGGGTTTTATTGAAGGGAAGAGGTCCCATTTTTAAAAATCCTAAATAACTTATTTTTTAAAAAAGTTCAGACCACCTAATTTACTCCTCCAAAAACCTTTCCACATTCGAAGAAAGCAAACAGGGTTATTTAGAATTTTTTTAATTGTGACTTTTATAGTTGGCATACATTAGGTTAAATATAGTTTTTGGTGTTTTATATCTTCTACCTACACATTATAGTACACATTGAGGCACTGATTTATAGAACCTGGGGTTCAATTTTAAGTAGTTGGCTTTATACTTAACATACAGCCATTTTTAAAGCATTATTGATCATCTCTATAATTTATTTTCTGTTGAAGACTTGGTTGTTTTGAAATGAATGCTTTATTCCTATTTTTAGAAGTTTTAGAAAATAATCTTTTTTACCTAAGGAGTAATACTTAGTGATTAACAAAAACTTAAAAACTCTAAGTGTATGAAAATATAATTATAGATGAAATAAATATTAGATTTAGGAGCAGGAGTGATAGTACAGCAGGTAGGGCATTTATCTTACACATGGCTAATTTGGTTTTATCCCCAGCATCCTTCCCTTCCCTCCCTCTTCTCTCTTTTTCTTTTAGTATCTCTTCCTCTCCCTCCCCCTCTCCACTTTCTTCCATTTCTCTCCTCCCCACCTCTCCGTCATTCCCACAACTTATTTGTGAATATGATTTTAACATATATATGGTCAATATTAGTATTTTCAACTATTAAGATAAAACACTGAAATGCGATAGCACAGCGGGTAGGGCGTTCGCCTTACACGCGGCCAACATGGCCGACCGGAGTTCGATTCCTCCGCCCCTCTCGGAGAGCCCGGCAAGCTACCGAGAGTATTCGATATGCCAGACACAGTAACAACAAAGTCTCCAATGGAGACGTTACTGGGCCCGCTCGAGCAAATCGACGATCAACGGGAGGGCCTTTTACTGTGAGATACATTTAACAAAACTTTCATGTTTGAATTTCAGTCATGTAATGATCAAACACCCATCCCTGCACTAGTGCACATTCTCCACCATCAATGTCCCTAGTATAATTCCCCCTTTCCAACTCTTCCTATGTCCTCTATGGTACACAATTTCCCCCATATTCTCTCTCTACTTTTGGGCATTATGAAAACACTGAAATTATTAAGGGTGACTCCCCTAAAACTGTTTCTGAAAAAACAGTATGACAAAAATTTAATCAATGGAAAACAATTTTATGATTATTTTGTCTGAGTTTGAAGAAAAAGACATGAGGCAAAAAGTTCTTTTAGTTCTACGCCCCCCAAAAAAGTTTCTTTTTTTTTTTACCTTTTACTTTGGTTACTAAATATTGTGTAGTCAGTGTAATCATTTGAGTTTCTCATTTTCTTAAAGAACTATAGAATTCTCAGACATTTGCCTTGCATGTGGCCAACCCTGGTTTGATTATTCTGTCCCTCTCGGAGAGCCCGGCAAGCTACCAAGAGTATCCCGCCTGCATGGCAGGGCCTGGCAAGCTCCCCGTGGCATATTCGATATGCCAAAAACAGCAACAAGTCTCACAATGGAGATGTTACTGGTGCCTGCTCAAACAAGTCCATGAACAACTGGAGGACAGTGCCACAGTGCTACAGTGCTACATCTACTGATACAATAACTCCACATCTGGGTTGGATTCTAATGACAAAGGGATAATTGGTATAACAAAACTCAAGAACAGCAAATTCTCATACATTCAACAACTGTCTTTCTACGTGTTAGTTATTAGTACTGTAATGAACTGATTCCTGGTACCACAAAATGATAATAAATATGTCCAAGACATGCCTAGAAGTACTGATACCTACGTTTGTTTTACCAGATTGCCCAACAGCAAGTGGAAAAGGTCTTGGGAAAACTTATTGCAGGTAAAAATAAACTGGCATATGAAAAGGGACAACTACAGGTATGATTATTTTTATGTTCTTTAGTTTTATATTTTCTCTTCTATTTTTGTCTTGGGTAATATCCAGTTCCCAGAGCTCAGGGGATATTCTCAGTGGTGCTCAAGAACAAATCCTGGGATCCTGCATGCAAATCATGTGGTTCCAGCCTTTTGAGCTATCTTCCCAGTGTCTTGCTTTCTAATGTATCAGTGCTGACTGATCGCTTTGAACAAGTCTTTGAACCTCCTTGTACTTGTTTTCGCTGTTTTGTTTTGTGGGGAGGGTTCAGGGGTGGTGGTGTACACAAGAAGTGTTTAAGAGACCCAGGGTCCCCACCTGAGATTCTTGGCCAACTAGACTATTCTGGCCATGCTGCTGATGCTCAGGGAACATATGGTGGTGGTAATTGAATTCAGGTCCAGCATGTGCTAGGCATGCACCCTAAGTACTGCATGCTCCCCATCCCCAAGATGATTTTTCTTTTATTTTCTTGTCTTTTTTCTTTTCTTTTCTTTTCTTCTCTTCTCCTCTCCTCTCCTCCCCTCCCCTCACTTCCCCTCCTTCCTCTCTCTCTCTCTCTCTCTTTCTCTCTCTCTCTCTCCCCCCTTCCTCTCTCTGTCTCCCTCCTTCCCTCCCTCCCTCCTCCCCCTCTACCCTCTCTCCTGGCTTTCATATCACTTCTATAAAGAAGCAACCCTGAAAATTGGGACTCTGAATAGATTAGTGAATGGGACAATATTGTTGCCTGTGGGTTTCTTCCCTGCAGTAACCCGAATAGGAGGCTTGCCTCACATGGCGACTCTTGTCTTAAATCAACTTTGGTAAAAACACTGAAGTCTAAATTTGTGATTTTCAGCCTTAGCAGTATACTTGAACCACATGGTGATTTTTTAAAAAAGCCCTAATGCTGAAAATTAGATGATGACAGCCATTTACTTTCAGTAAATCATCAAAATCGAAAATTGTTGATTAACAATCTTTATACTTGTTTATCACTTATCAAATCATCATTTCTTCTATCCAAGTAAAACAGTTGCTAATGCTAAGATTTTGGTGGTAGACATGTATAGGCACAAAGTAAAATTCTTCAGTCTGGAGAGTTGGGGAGATAGCTCAAAGTGGTAGAGCCTATTCCTGGCACAGAAAAGACTCTGAATTTGATTCTAGGCACTGCATAGCATTGGAGCAGTGAACTGCCATGTCAGAACACAAAACATTCAGATTTCACTGCACTGCTGCAGTCTGGAGTGGCCCCCAGGCCTCAACATCTGACACACTTAGGGATACCACTACTTAAAAAACATTTTAAAGTATTTTTTAAAATAAAACGTAGGGGTGAAATACCCATATCCTCATATTAAGGCTTGGATCCTGGAGTGATTAAATCAAAATATGAGGGAGGTCTCTCCTAAGCTTCAATACTTTAACAACTCCCAGGTAAATCCAGTGTACTGTCATAGCTGAAGACTGTTGAATTAAATGGTATGAAGTCAAGACCCACTTAGGTTTGGCAAGCAGATTTCTGATTTCGTATGTAATTTCACCAGCATTTGCTTAACACATCAATATTAATCTCAGCTTGTCGGTTTAGGAGGTTGGGGTTATACAAAATAGTGCTATCAGACAAAATCAGGCATAAGCCATGCCAATAAATACTGTGTTGTATCCTAAAATAAAAACAATAAAATTGGTTGGCTTCTATTTAAGTGCTTTAAATATTTTCAGAGGCATTGATGCATTTAACATAATTGTCCATATTTTTGTAAGGTAAAGGTAAAGGCCCTCCCGTTGATCGTCGATTTGCTCGAGCGGGCCCAGTAACGTCTCCATTGGAGACTTTGTTGTTACTGTGTCTGGCATATCGAATACTCTCGGTAGCTTGCCGGGCTCTCCGAGAGGGGCGGAGGAATCGAACTTGGGTCGGCCATTTTGGCCGCTTGTAAGGCGAACGCCCTACCCGCTGTGCTATCGCTCCAGCCCTCATATTTTTGTAATCTAAAACAAGTTTTATTTTTCTTGAGTTTCATTTTATTTTCATCTTCAAAATACGGAAGATAAGTAAACACTTTTAGTGTACTTCTCACTGGGAAATATGGCCATCTGTATGACTGAGAACAAAAATTATTATGGCCACAGAACTTTCTTCTTAGTAAAATTATTGATCCCATTGGATTTATGATATTGATCTCATTGGATTTATGATTTATGATTTTTACCTTCTCTCAGCTTCCCTTAAGAAATAGATATAAGAATATAATATAATATATTAGATATTCTTATATATATTCCTATTTATATAAGGATATATATAAGAAAACTTTAAGTATTTAAGAAAAATAAATCAAAATAGACTTGAAGCCAAATTTTATTTTGGAATGCAATACTAAATTTATGAATTTTATATTACATAAACTTCTATATCTTAATTAGATAATCTTGGGGGGGTCATATTAATAATCTTAAGGAAAATACATGTCTATTTTCTGATTAATTTCTATATTAATAATTTAAGATTTTGTTATTCTTTAAAAATTGAAACCTTTGTGGGGCTGGAGTGATAACACAGCAGGTAGGTAGGGCGTTTGCCTTGCACGCGGCCGACCCGAGTTCAATTCCCAGCATCCCATATGGTCCCCTGAGCACTGCCAGGAGTGATTCCTGAGTGCAAAGCCAGGAGTAACCCCTGAGCATCGCCAGGTGTGACCCAAAAAGCAATAAATAAATAAATAATAAATAATAAATAAAAATTGAAACCTTTGTTTGTGGCTACAACTGGCAGTACTCAGGGCTTACTCCTGGCCCTGCACTCAGGAGTCACTCCTGGACTTGTCAGAAATTGCTGCCCCATGTACAGATATGGTTTAAATTTCATTCTCAATGCTGCTTAACATTAAATTATATTAATATGTCAAGCTGTATTTGTCCTTTCTTCTGTTAATATAAAAACAGAGTAATTGGGGAAAAATGTAAAAATGCAAAATTTGGAAATTTATGAATAAATATTAATATTTTAATTCCTCAATTGATCATTTTCTTCAAAAAGAAATATGTGAGTAGTCATTTTATTGAAAATATAATCAAGCATATAAGAATTCCATTAGAAAATTCCACTGAAGTCAGTAAACACAAGACTAAGTCTCCTTACATACAGACAATTTGAATAATTATCCATATTCAGAGTATATGAATGCTAAGTACCATAATTATATTAAATTTGAAATATATTACTTACAAAATCTCTTTTACATTCAGAGTCATGTCTTGGGGTCTCCATAAGCAATATAAATCAATTGAATTATCCCAATTTACATAAATGGATGTATATCTTTTAGCAGATGAGTTAAAAAGCATTCTTTGCATCATTTGAAAACTTTGTTTTTAAGGAGTCTCCTGCTGGGTTTTTTTTTGTTTGTTTTTGACCACACTCAGAGGTACTCACAACTTACTCCTGGCTCTGTGCTCAGTAATCACTCTGCCAGGGAATGAACCTGGGTCAGTGCAAGACCAGAGCTCTACCAGCTGTGCTATCACTTGGGCCCTGATTCTCTGATTTATTGCAAAACTCATAACATCATATTTTTTCCTTTTATAGTACATATATGTCATATATATATATATATATAGGCTTACTTTTTTTTCTTTTCCCTAGATAAGAGTTAAACAACTAGAAGAACAATTACATACCTTTACTGAAACCATTTTACAGAATGACCATCTCCGCAAGTTGAATAAGACTCTAGAGGGCAAATATACTCAGGTGTGATTATTTTGCTTTAATTTATGTTTAAGAAATTGGTGTCTTTCTCCCCATAAAACCATATAATTCCAAAAAGTATATTCTATCAATCCAACAAAAATTATATATCATACCCAGTATTTATATGTGTATACACACACACACACACACACACATATATATATCATACCCAGTAAGATATATTTGCTAGGTATGATATCTGCTAAGTAAAAAGAAGTCATAAAAATTAATTAAGGAGGATTGAAACTTTTGACTTGTTTATGTTCTATTTAAAAATTTAGGAATGTTCTAAGTAAAATTCATTTTAGAATAGAAAGTTAAGTTTTTCAGAAACAAAGTAGATTGTGTTATGAGGGTGTATTATTATAATTGGAAGCTCTTAAAATATTTTCATAAGGGAAGTGGGTTTTGGAAACGTTTGGTAGATGTGAAGAATAGGTATCTGGGGGTTGGAGCAATAGCACAGTGAGTAGGGTGTTTGCCTTGCATGCAGCCAACCCGGGATTGATTCCCAGAATCCCCTGAGCACCACCAGGGATAATTCCTGAGTGCAGAGTGAGTAGTGACCCCTGTGTATTGCCAGGTGTGACCCAAAAAGCAAAAAATAAAATAAAATAAAAATAAATAGATAAAAAAAGAATAAGTATCTGGATCTTTTTTTAAATTACAGAAAAATCCAGAACTCTATGACAAGGAACATTTATAATAATAGAAAACTTGGAAGTCATTTTAGTCATTTTAATTTCTTACCAGTCAGGATGATGGCTATTGCGGCTGAGATTCTTTTTATAAATTATGTAGCATTTTAACAAATGAATGAAAGTCAGACAAATATTAAAAAAAATAGTGGTGGGGCCAAAAAGATAGTATAGAGGTTAAGGTCCATACCTTAAATGTACCTGGCCCTAGTTCAATACCATGGGGTCCCCTGAACATCACAGGGTATAGCCCTGGAAGCCCCTTGACACATCTAGATGTAACCTTTATGGGCCCTGAGCACCACTAAGGTGGCCTTGGTGGTTGGCAATAGTGCAAGGCCTGAGCAGTACCATATCCTCAGGCCCTAGCTTTGAACTGTCAAGCGCAAATGGCTGAGAATTTCTGGGAATGACCCCATGGTCCCCTGCCTACATGAGAGGCCCAAAAGGGGAAACAAATTAGTGAAGAAAATTATCCAGGATTGTGAATTGAAATAAAGTGATTCATTTTAATTATTTATAAATATACCAGGCACGGGCTGGAATGATAGCACAGCGGTAGGGCGTTTGCCTTACAAGTGGCCAACATGGCTGACCCAAGTTCGATCCCTCCACCCCTCTCGGAGAGCCCTGCAAGCTACCGAGAGTATCTCGCCCGCTCGGCAGAGCCTGGCAAGCTACCCGTGATGTATTCGATAGGCCAAACACAGTAACAACAAATCTCATGATGGAGACGTTGCTGGGCCCGCTCGAGCAAATCGATGAACAACAGGAGGACCGTGACTGTGATACCAGGCATATAACTGAAAAAAACTTGAATAGCTTAAGCACACTTTAATAATTCTGTCTATAAATTTGTATATGTATTTCCCTGGTAACCGAGGAACTAGAATGTGTTTTCAAGAGGAGGGTTCTAACCACCTGACTAAACTAATAATTGATGAGGTCATAAAGTTGGTAAATATGCTGTCCTACAGGGAACTTGGATTAAATACTCTTTCTTCACTAGGACATATTTTTATTCAGTGATTTCTTTATTCTGAAAGCAAGGAAATACAATTTCAAATATATTTTCCATCTAAGCTTCATTCAGAACATTGTATTTTTTTTTTTAGGAAAGGGGGGCACTTGTTGAAAATAACTAGGTTTAGTTGACTTTATTCCTTTAAATTGGTAATGCCTCCAAGAAAAAAGAAGTCTCCAGAGAGACCTGCATCTTCAAAATTTTTTGAAAGCAATAGGCCTCGTATAAACCCTGTAAAGGAAAGAACTGCATCAGTTGGTTTGCCTGGTTTTATTTCACACGCTCCCCATCGTGTGACCTTTGCACGGAGCTTCCCTTCTGTGAACTCTTCCCAGGAGAGCGGAGACTCTAGAATCTCTTTAAAGACACTTTTAAATGCTATTAAAACCATGGAGGGAAGGTTGGAAGGTAAAATAGAAGTTCTTGCCTCAAGACCACTAATAAGTAATGAATCACCAAGTTTGCATATACGGGATTCGGTAAGTTAAGGCCATAAACTAAATCTTACAGAAATTTTAGTATTACTACAATGAAGAAAAGTATAGCAACTCAGATAATCTTCAGAGTCCAGAGAAATAGCAAAGAAATTAGATTCTCTTTTTCATACATAGGAGAAACTGACCAGGTCGTTTGAAACGATCATTTTACTATCATTGGGTTTTCTTGGGTTTATTGAGAGGAGTATAGGCCACACCTGGCAGAGCTCAGGCACTACTCCTGTTTCTGCTTAGGGACTTTATGAGGTGCTGGGGATTGAATGAGGGTTGACTGAATGTAAGGCAAGTGTCTTAAGCCCTGAACTGTCTCTCCAGGCCATTACTGAGATTTTTAAAAAATCTTTTTATTTGATAGCACTTGTTTTAAAAAATCAAAATGCCTAATTTTAACATTTAAGTCAATATGTTTGGATAAAGCCTGACACTAAAGTAAAAATATACTAATAGAAGCCAAACATTATTAGATATTTTCTAAAGAAAATATGATTACATCACTCTGCTTAATCTTAAAAATAGAAAGTATAGCATGGGGACATGGCTCAATCTATGAGGCCATGAGATTGGCACTACAAAAAAGGAAAAAAGCACTACAGCTTGATTTTTACAGTTGGCCATTTAGATTCTTCCATAAACATGTTTGTTTGACTCTTTAAATTTATTTTATAAATAATTTTACTTGTTACTTTTCTTGAACAAAATTAAATAGGCATTCAGACCTTATCAGTTGATATTCTTTATACCGTTCTTAAGTCCTTATCAAAAATTATTTTAAATATTATTTTTAAATGCTTAAGAAAGTATAGTAATGGTGCGGATGATAAGAGGAATAACATTCTTTGTTGCTTTGTGGTTGTGAAAAATGATCTAGCTTCCTATGAGGGTGACTTAGCAGTAATTATTACTGCTAACTGCACAAGGACCTCACTCTTCTAGGACTTTCCCCACAGAGATGCTAACTCAAACAGACCACATGTTTACAAAGTTACTTAGTACAATTTGTTAATAGCAAGAGACTAAGGAAACAATCACCCATATGACTGGCTAATGCTATCCATGATTTGGAATGATGCTTGAAAATATATCTCTATTATAGAGACCTCTAAAATTAGGTTTCAGGAAACAAGGTTTAGGGCCAAGAATGAAGCCCAGTGGTAAGGTACTTCCTCGTATATGTAAGAAAATCTTGGGTTCAATCCCTAGCACCACAAAAATGGATTTTTTAAATGGGGCTCAGAGGGCAGTGGGAAAAAACAGTGGTTAGGGTGCTTGCCTTGTACATGGCTGGCCCGAGTTTGACTTCTGGGAACACAAATGGTCCTGTGAGCCTATCAAGAGTAATCCCTAAGCACAGAGCTGGGAGTAAGCCCTGAGAACTACCAGGTATGATCCAAAAACCAAAAACCAAAACAAACAAAAAAAGGAGGGGGTCTATAAAAATATGCATAGTATTTTGCTACTTGTGTGCAAAAGGAGTGGAGAGCTTAAAAATATATATACAGTAACTCCTCCTTATGCTTAGGTTCTACTTTCCACAGTTCTGCAACGTAGCACTGTCTTCCTGTTGTTCATTGATTTGCTCAAGCGGGCACCAGTAGTGTCTCCATTGTGAGACTTTTTGTTACTGTTTTTGGCGTATTGAATATACCACAGGGAGCTTGTCAGGTTCTGCCATGCAGGTCGGATACTCTCGTTAGCTTTCCGGGCTCTCCTGCTGTGTTCACAGTTCAGTCACCCGTAATTAATGTAGTTTGAGGCAACTGATGTGCGTGATGGAACATATCCCCTACTCATAAGGGGCAAGAGCCGGAGAGGTGGTACAGCAGTTAAGGTGCTTGCATCGCACTTAGCTCACCTGGATTTGATCTGGCACTTCATATGGCCACCTGAGCCCTGCCCAAAGTGTTCTCTGAGAACAAAGCCAAGAGTAAGTAAGTCCTAAGCACAGTCAGGTGTGGTCCCCAAATTGAAAAATCATAGAAGGCAGAACTGCTTTGTATATTTATTCACTTGACAAGCATAGAATATCTCAGTTGAGTCATAGTAGAATGGCATCATAATTGTTGATGATGTAAACTGCATGACTTGAGAAAGTTTTCGCTTTACCTTTTTGTACTTTAAGAAGAATGTGTGAAAAAAATGTGTGAGGGTGAGGTAAGAACTCAAAGGACTGGGGCTTTATGGTTTATTTTTGGGGTCCCCAGATTAACCTTCAACACCTTGGGTCCCTGAGCCCTGCCAGTGACCCCTGATCTCTCTGAACCTGGAGTAATTCCTGCCCTCGTGGTGTACCTGAAAAAATAAAACAAAACAAACAAACAAAAAAAACAAGAACAAAATGGTGTGAGCACCAGGGATAAGACTACAGTGCCATGCATGCCTCATTTACGTAAGACCCAGCACTCCAAAAGGAAAAAAGATGGTTAATATTCTACATACACAAAATTTTCATACTCAGACCGTTTCATTTTCAACAGAAGCAAAGTAGAGAAAGGATATTTTCATCCTTTGATGAAAATTGGTATTCAGCCAGAGAAGCCAAAAAGATTCTTTGTTCTAAACCTCAGGCCACATATAGCAACCAAAATGGATCAGAGCCCTAAATATAAGACCTAAACTTCAAAACTTCTAGGAGAAAACATAGGAGAAAAATCTTTGTTATCTTGGATTACACAAAGATTTCTTAGATTTTGATCCAGAAAATATATACATATAAATGAGCACTTTACTTCCCTCAGAGACATCTGATATTGGGATGACACCTTGCAGTGGTGGTCAGGGGCTACTGTCAGTCAGCTCTGGTCTTGGAGTTGCTCCTCACAGTGCTTGGAGACCTTGTGGTACCAGGGATCAGCCCTGGTCTCTAGCATGTGAAACGTGTTTAGCTCTTTGAGATGCCTTAATGGCCGTCAGAGATATTATTAGGAGAGTGAAGAGCTAAACTATATTCTCGATGGGCTAGAGTGACAGTGTAGAAAGTAGGGTTTTTGCTTTGCCTGTGGCCAACTTGGGTTCAATGCCCGGCTCCTGTATGGTCCCCAGGACATCACCAGAAGTGATCCCTGTGCACAGAACTGGAATAAACCCTGAGCACCAGCAGATATGGCCCAAAGTATAAACTACAGTCTCATACATACTTTCAAATCTCCTATCTGACAAAAGCCTTATCTCCAAAATGTTGTTAAAACCTCAAAAATCACTATAACGAAAACAAATCCAGTTAAAATGCCTAGAAAAGTATTCATACAGAATTCTAATAAACATGACTTACTTATAATAGTGGATAAGCATATTTAATTAAATACTATAAATCTGGTTTCTATGTCAGAATATGTTATGTGTGCGCATATGTGTGCAGTGTGCCGAGGATTAATCCCAGGCCCTCATGTATGGGGGATGTGAATTCTACAACTGATAAGTCCCTGCTCCCTAAGTTTGGGTTGTAAATTTTCATCTTATTTTAATTGCTTACTTTAGGATCTTTCAGAAAAGTCATTTATCTCTTTTTTCCCCCTCTAAGGTGAAATCTATTCTCGAGAAGAATGAGGAGGAGCTCTTAAATGCAGTGAAGTATCGTGAAGCAGCCCTGAAAGAGAGCCAGAAGTTGAAAGGGGATCTTGAAGCTGTGGAAAACAGGGAGAACCAGAAGGCAAGGCTTTACAACTCCGAAGTTCTCTTCTGCATCTGAGCACTTAGGAAATCCTTCTCAGAACATATTCTTTCTTTGTTAGCTTTGTATAACACTTTCCTTGTTAGCACACTCAGGCCTGAAACAACCTGACCTGGCCCAGTCCTTACCACTGCTATCCCTGCAGCCCCATTCCACTCCAGCAACATTGCACTGTCAGTTGTTTGTAAGCTTCTGGGGAAAGCCATGATATGATATAGAAGATCACAAAATGTTTTAGTACACAGTAAATTGTGATTATATTTCCAAATTACGCCATGAAAGTAAAGTGTAAAGATGTGTAAGGATGGGTATATTATTCATTCTCAAAGGACATTTCTCCTTCTGTGATTTTTATTTTATAATTCTGAATCTCTGCCTTTGTCCTACTTCTCAGTATTTTCTATTGTGTTTGTTTATGGGAAGTGGTGATTGCAGTCTAATTAGAATTTTTGCTAGCCTTAGCTTCACTGGACAATAAGACAAAAGATGTCCCTTCCTTATATAACTATGTAATGCTTCTATGGAGTTATCTTTGCATCAAATCTAACCCTATGAATAATTAGCAAAATATGAGGAGTTATAATAAAGGAATTAAATATTTTAGGGGGTTAGGAGGCTTATTTAAAAAAACACAACCAATTATTTCTGTGAAAGTTAAGTTCTACTGTGTTTTATTGTTTACATCTGCCCATTATGCTGTTATCTCCCACTCCTTACTTGAATATCTTTAGAAATATATTTGCATTTTGTTACAAAATGATGATAGTGCCCAGTTTGGCTGACTGATTTGTAAGTTTAAGAGTAAATAAAAGAAATATACATTTTTGTCTCTTAAAAAAGGTAAAAGATCATGGGACCAGTGAAATACTACAGTGGGTAAGGTGCTTGTCTTGCATATGACCAACCCAGGTTCAATCTCAACACCTCACTGGACCCCTGAGTGCAGAATCAGGATTGCTCCTGGGCACCACTGGGTATGATCACCAAAAAAAAGCCCCAGTTTTTTTTTATTAAAATAATTAAAAATCTTTACAACATTTCTCTTTAAAACATTTAACTCCAGTGTTTTAAAGTTTCTTTTAAAAGTCTTATTTGCAGCTGGAGAAATAACAAGGGGTTCAGGCTCATGCCTTCAATGTGCCTGAGAGAGGTTGTATATTGTTACTAGGTGATCCTCTAAACACTATCAGGTGTGACCCTTGAACACCAATGGGTACAACCTCCAAGTACTGCCCCAGGGTGCTAATGGCTGCATGTCCTTGGGCCCTGTTGACTGAGAGTCACTGGAAGAGAGCTCCAGGCCATCAGAACACCACTTGCAAGGCCCACCACCACCACCAATACCAAGTCTTGTTTCTAGCCTTAGCTGGTAATGTTAGCCTGCTGCTTTTATTAAGTGATCTAACACTGCTATATGTCACATTAAATCCTAAAAGCTACTTAACAGCATGTGATCATTGGGAACCATGGTCACATCCTACATTTCTTGACAGTAGATGCTAGACTTTCTTTAGGAAAGATGTGAGTTACTTTCAGCAGCCTTTACTTATTTTTAATGATAATTTTTCTTCAAATAATTCTAATAGGTGTCTCGTCTGCCCATCATAAACTAGCAAGCAGGGCCTGGCATGCCCGCCTGGGGCCACCTCTAGATCCAAGACGTTGTTGATCTTGATGAATCTCCAATTAGTGTTCATGAATGGCAGTTACTAGGGAGCACTGTGATGAAGTTCTCCATAGGATCCACTGAATATGAGACCTAAATTCCCTTTTCTCACAATGGAGGGCTAACTTCCTATAACAATTAAAATATATTTTAATTAATCCTCTGAGCATTCCTGGTAGGTTTTACTCCTGTGCCTTCTGAGGAGTAAGAAGGACTCAGCAATAGCAGCAGTGGAATTACCACAGAGGATTAAACCTGTCTCATTTCATTTTCCGGTAGGTGGGAAATTTTCAGCGACAACTGGCAGAGGCTAAAGAGGACAATTGCAAAGTCACAATCATGTTGGAGAATGTGCTGGCTTCTCACAGCAAGATGCAAGGCGCTCTTGAAAAAGTACAAATAGAGCTTGGGCGGAGGGATTCAGAGATTGCAGGCCTTAGGAAAGAAAGGTACTGGAGATTATTTTTCTGTCTTCGTGCCTGTATTTTTCTGCTGTATTTACTAAGGAGCATTGTGCAATGAAATTGATAAAATGGTAAAGAACTAGCAAGTTAGAAAAAAAAATCTGGAATTATAAACAAAATTTCAAATTTTTTTTTATGTTGTAGTGATGTGCAGGTGCATGTTTTCTAGGAAGCCATATGATATATTGTTATTTTATCCTTGCTGCTTTCTATACCATTTAAACCTGTTCCTGTTTCTGTAGAATATAGTAACTATTGTGATCATTGCTACTGAGCACCTAATTCAGTTTGAATCAGTATCCATTTACTAGAATCTTGTTTCAAGATGACTAGTTAAATACTTATTTGGATGTTTCAAAAAGTATCCATTTTAGGTTAAGAGAAAAAGGTTGAGTTAAATAAGGCAGATAAAATATACCACAGGTATATATTGACTATTAGCTCTGGAGCCAATGGCCACCAATTAGGAAGAACAAATCAGTTTTATTGTCTTCATTATGGTTGTCTTTATTTTTCATGTACTGTAATTTGCTTTGTCCTTAAGAGAGGGCCAAGGTTATGACTAAAGTGGTAGAAAGTGTATTTGTATTTGTGAGAACCCTTAATTTTAATCCCCTCAGCATAATTGTATATAGCCTGAAAGCTGCAATAATACTGTAACCAAAAAAGTCAAAAGAATGATGTTAATAATGGTTTACCCTTCACAATAAAATTATAGATAGCCAGAATTTATGTTTAGAAGCCAGAAATCTGAATAGCAAATTGATCTGTATAGAGGCAATAAAATTTTTAGGTTGTATATTTAACTATTATAAGACTACCAGTCCATAAATTAGTCATTAGCTTAATAGTAAAAAATATTAAGCCTAATCAAATAATAAATGAGACAGATTATTAACCCTATGAGTTTAGTTTTTTAAACTGACTGAGGTTACTGTCATCTACCAACTGATGTTCTCAGCTCCTGTATATACTATTTGAAGTTTGGTGGTTTTTTTTTTGTTTGTTTGTTTTGGAACCACACTTAGTGGTGCTTTGGAGATCATGAAATGTCAGGGATTGAACCCAGGACTCCTATATTTACTCGAACCTTATAAACTATCTCCCCAGACCCCTGTTTGAACTTCTTGAACCAAGAATACTGTAAACTCCCAGTGGTATCATTCCTGTGCTTTTTTATTTTGTAGGGCTATAAACCAGCAGAGGGTGCAGAAGTTAGAAGCAGAAGTGGACCAGTGGCAGGCCAGAATGCTTGTGGTGGATTCCCAGCACAATAATGAGGTAAGGACCTCATCTTTATAAGATAAAGCTGGTGTCTTGTTTTTATGTGGAGTTTTCTCCCTATCATTAACTGCATATATGGAGTTCAGCAAGCAGATAAATTCCCTTTTCATTCATGTGTGAGTTTTTTTTTTCTTTTTTTGGTCACACCCGGCGATGTACAGGGGTTACTCCTGGCTCTGCACTCAGGAGTTACTCCTGGCGGTGCTCAGGGGACCATATGGGATGCTGGAAATTGAACCTGGGTCGGCCACGTGCAAGGAAAATGCCCTACCCGCTTTGCTATCTCTCTATCTCTCCAGCCCTTCATGACAATGGAATAATTAGAAATAGGTAATAGTAATAGTAATAGTTTTATCATCATTTATTGGTAAGACAGGATTGCAGTTAAGTCCGATTCACTTGTGATACGTTCTGAGGTATGTACACACACACACACACACACACACACACACACACACACACACACACACACCCCTTTATACCACTGTTTCCTAAAGTGCTCAAGGTGGTAAATAACCTCCCTGGGGATATTATTAGAAGACACTTTCTGTTTGTTCACTTCAAGGATTTTTAGGGGGCCATTGAGTAATTCTGTTTTCTGGAAAGAGGGTGGTAGGTCAAGTAACTTTGTGAACCTCTCATCTATACAAATGCCTATATTTAAAATACACATGAATATTCTGTGTAAGAAGCTTTCACTAAAAGAATGTATAACGAATGGTTTATCAGTTCATATTTCTTTAAGGAGAGAAGTTATAGTTTCAGCAAAGGGAATTTAATTTAAAAATAAGGATCAGTTGGGGCTGGAGAAATAGTATAGGGGTTATTTCTTTTGCCTTCCAATGTGGAAAACCTTAGTCTGATATCTGGTACCACATATAGTCCCCAAGTATCAATTGGGTCACTGCTGAGCACATAGTGAGCTAGAAATAGTTCCTGAACACTGATAAGTGAGGTCCCCAAACCTCCAATTAATTAAAATATAAATTAAAATTAAAATAAATTGATTTCATTTCCAAAGCTCTGTAGTTACTAATAGCGAGCACATACTCTTCCACAGCCTTATTTATAAGAGTCACTTAAGCATTGTCTGTTTTAAGTTCTTATATGTGCTGCATATATGTGATATATATGATGTATACTATATATATGCATTTATATATATTTATATTTTTAAACTATTTGTATATTATGCCTTCCAGTAATAGAATCATTGAACAATAACAAAAAAACCAGAATGATAGTACAGTGGGTAGGATGCTTGCTATGCATCCAGCAGACCTGGGTGTGATCCCTGACACCACAAATGGTCCCCTGAGCCCTGCCAGGAATGATTCCTGAGGGCAGAATCAAAAGTAAGCCCTGAGAACCCCTGAGTGTGGCCAAATGTGTATACATAAAAATATATATGGCTAAATATTTATACATTGTATACACATATATAAGTGGCGAAATATGCATATATGTATATGCACATGCACACATACATATATATCTATATGTGACACACACGTGTGCACACACACGTGTACATATATTTCACTCTGATTAAATTACATTTTTACAGCCTAGAGGACACCTTGGACCAACATGGTATTTACTCAAGATCTCACCTTAGTCTCTTCCCATTTCTTTCCTTATCAATATATAAGTTCCTTTCCTCCCCTGTCAGCCAGACATACAGGTGGATGAGGCAGACATGGCCTTTGTTAGCAGTAGTTCTCAGTTATTTTTTCATTAAAGAGTCAGCATATCCATTAACCTTACCTCATTGCATCTTACAAAGTGTGTGTGTGTGTGTGTGTGTGTGTGTGTGTGTGTGTGCGCGTGCGCGTGTGTGCATAAATATTTTTAAAGGCATCTCATATCTTAGGCTCTATTTTTCCCTAATTATTGCTTTAATGGCTTTTAAGGATACACAGTGTAAGGAATTCTGCTGTATAGTATTATGCATCTGTTAACAGTGGGATTTAAAATCTCTTTCAGATGGAGCCTCTACAGAATGCTCTAGAGGTAGCTAGAGAAGATAACCGGAAATTGGCTCTGAGCCTTGAGCAGGCTCTACAGACTAATAATAATCTTCAAGTAAAGCTTGATCATGTTCAAGAGAAATTGGAAAACAAAGAGCTTGAGCGACAGAATTTGGAAGCCTTCAAGTAAGGGCAATTTAAGTCACAGTAAATTTAGGAAAGAGCCTCTGGAAGAGTATCCTAGCTCATTCACATAAATCAGTCAAATCCTTTTCTCACACTTTGAACTAGTATTCCCAGGAGAGTCATTTTAGGAATGAGGTGGACCTGAGTCCCAGCATGTACTAAATGACTCTGAAATATTTACTTGAATGTATAAATATAAATCTCTAGGATAGAATCCAAAATTATTTAACTGAAAAAGAATTAGTACAACATGACCCGATTCTTTAAAAAAAAGGAAATCAATATAGAACAAGCGATTTAAGCTAAGTATCAAGTAAAAATAATATTAAACACCAATTATAATTGTATTTCATGATGGAATGTTAAGGTAAAAGGTAAAGGCCCTCCCGTTGTTCATCGATTTGCTCGAGCGGCCCCAGTAACATCTCCATTGGAGACTTTGTTGTTACTGTGTTTGGCATATCGAATACGTCGCGGGGAGCTTGCCAGGCTCTACCGTGTGGGCGAGATACTCTCGGTAGCTTGCCGGGCTCTCCGAGAGGGGCGGAGGAATCGAACTCGGGTCAGCCATGTTGGCTGCGTGCAAGGTAAACGCCCTACCGCTGTGCTATCGCTCTAACCCAGAATGCTGGAATGTTAAATATAATAAATTAACATATATAACATAAATAGAAGAATAAGTTTTATTTACAAAGACTAAATATATCTAAAAAAAAAGTTAGTGTTGAAGTTTAAAATTCTCTAAACAGAATAGTTAATGAGAAAAGAAAAACCCTTGAAAAGAATCATACTCTCCTACATATTTTCTTTTATGGAAGTCCTTTGAGTGCTTCTTGGAGGCAATGAATTCTTTTAACCATTGTTTGTGTAAAAAATTCTTTTTTCATCCTTCCAATCTAACTTATAACCAAATTAGGTAAAGTATTCTTTGTTGGAAGTCTTTTTTTATTCAGCATTTTATATACATTCTCATACCGCAGCTTTCTGGCTTGTAGCTTTTCTATAGAGAAATATGTTGATAGTCTTGTAGGAGTTTTCTTATTTGTGACACTGCTTATCTTTTACTGCTTTTAGAATTTTTCTCTTTGATTTTTCCTATCTTAGTTGTAATGTGTTTGGGTGTGCATATGTTTTGGTTTATTTGGGGAGAAATTCGTGAAGTGTATCCTGGATTCTTAAGCCCTTTTCAGTTTTAGGCAGGCCATAGGCATCCTTGCTAACTGGTTATCCCTTGGGAGATCTGAAGGGTGCCTTCTTTCTGCAGGGCTGTGGCCTGCATGGTAGCTGCCAGATGTGGACTGGGAAGGGGAGGGATCTGTTTATTTGCCAGGAGTAAATGTTCTTGAGAATTGTGCCCATTTACTTTGACTAATTTGCTAGGGATGGGTTCAGCTCTCCCCAGAAATTTTCCTTCTAGTCTGTTGCCTGGAGAGATTTCATATGGTGTCTCTCTGCCCTGTTATCTGCTATGTTGTGAGACGACATCAATCAGGCCCCTTCCTTATGTGGTAAGTATAGGATCTTAGGATGGGGGTGCCAGATGTTTGTTGCAATTCCACTCCCAGGGTAAGTTCCACACCTTAGAAAACATTCCCACTCACAGCTCAGTGGTGCAGTTTCTTTTTTTGGTAGGGTGGTTTCTATTTTGATGGGCATACCTGTACACATCCATCGAGGTACTTACTTTTGTCTCATTGTATAAATTTTCATTGGAGCTTGTTTCATTTCAGTTTTTCTGTATATTTTCCTTGTTTACAGAAAAATATAAGCTCATTCTCACTGTTTGGTCATCTTGGTCCAGTACTTTACTCCAGTTATCTTATTTATGTCAAGAATTTTTAAAATGTAGACTGTTTTTAGGAAAGAATACTCACATCTTTCTGCCAAGTCTTTTTGGTCAACATCTTAAAGTATCTTTTAAAATAATAATTTGGGGCTGACAAGATAGTGCAGGGGGTAAGGTGCTTGCCTTGCTCTAACTAACCCTGATTCAATCCCCAGCTCTGCATATCCTCATCCCTGAGCACTGCCAGAAATGCTACCTTCCAAAAAAAAAAGAATGATTTGGAAAAGGAATAATAATGGGACATTCAGGGGCAATTCAGGAATATGATGACTCCATCTAAACCATTGTTTTCAGTTTTGGCTAGAGATAAATATAGATCAGACCCATCAAGTTCAGGTCAAGCCATCTTAGTTCTTCTTAAATTGCCACCTCATCTTAAACTGCATCTAGGTAAATTGGATTTAGTATTGACAGTCCTGACTAGAGAGATCATATAGAGTGAAGTTGTTTGCCTTGCATGTGGCCAAACCTGGTTTAATCACCAGTATCACATGATCCTCTCAGCAGAGAGCCAAGAGCAATCCCCAAGTAGTATTACCAAGTATTGTCCAATCCCATTCCCCAAGTATTGTCCAGCCCCGTTCCCCCTCCCCACAAGAAATATTGACATTGCATGAAAATCTATACCTAAGGAAAATGTAATATGTACATAGATCTTAATGAATATGGTGTGGTAAAGAAGAAGAAACATTTTAGCTAAAGTTTTGCTAAAGCAGAGGAAGGCATTTTCCATACTTTATGTTCTAATGAAATGTTGCTAGCTCACAAATTGTATCGGTTTAAGAATGAATGAACTAGTTTCATATTTTTGGTTCACAGTCAATATTGAATAATTATTTTTCACTACTATAGATAAATAAGCTCCAGACAAAGGTGGTTCACCTGTTGACTGATCTGCTTGCTTGTAAAACATGTACCTTCCCTGTTTTACATTCCCTGCCGTATCTTTTTTATCTTCTGATATGATAAGTCATGTTTAGACATATCTTCTTCAAAACAGAGAACGGATAACTGAGGAATCCAAGATGGAAGCAGAATTACATGCTCAACGCATAGAAGTTCTGAGAAAGCAGTTTCAAACTGAGAGAGAAACTATAAAGAAAGCAACACAACGGGAAGTGTCTGAGGTACAGTGTCAATGGACAAAATCGTTTCTAGGTGAATATGCCTTTTAGGGAGTAAGATTAGCCAGCTAAGGAATGTCAGAATGCCAGCAGTTGTTCTTTGACTCATCTAATCCCCTTTTGACAAGCAATCCAAATACGACTGTATCATTTGTAAATCAACACCCAAGAAGGCAATCTCTGATCCACAGTTCTCTGCACATTGAAGGAATGTCATAATGAGTGCTTTCTCCTCACAGAATAAGTGAGTGGGCTATAGAAGGATAAGGAGACTGACATCTGAATAACAGCAAATCTTCCGTCTCTTCAATTCACTTAGCTAGCGTCCATCATGTGCTTCTCCCAAGACACAGCTTCTTCTGAGAGGCACACATAAAAACAATAAATAATATAATCAGTGCGATGTCTTTAATAACCTGCACTTAATGTGGTCTTGGTCTTTACTCTTTACATCAGACATATATAAAGAAGACAGTTTTGAGGGTCTTTTTGGGTAGCTAGAGGCTATGTACAATTTTAAAAGAATTATAAGTAACAGAAAGTTCTAGAACTGGTTTGGTCTCGGTGTGGAAAGGGGAAGCATAATGAAATTCTATGGTTAAAACTGGCAAAGCTGACAGGATTGGAACTTTTTTTGGTAAGAACATGAAAAAATGAAAAAAGGTTTTGCTTTCCATCAGTTGGCGATACTAGGAAATATAGGTAAAGGTAAAGGCCCTCCCGTTGATCGTCGATTTGCTCGAGCGGGCCCAGTAACGTCTCCATTGGAGACTTTGTTGTTACTGTGTCTGGCATATCGAATACTCTCGGTAGCTTGCCGGGCTCTCCGAGAGGGGCTAGGAAATATATGAGAGATGTATTAGTTTTAGGATAGTGCCAACTGGTAGAGGCACTTGGCAACTAGAATGTTAAATATGCGCTCTTAGGTCAAAGTAGAGTGCTGTAGGTTTCTAGAAAAGGTGTGTTATCATATAAGCACTATTTTATTCTATTTGGGCATAGGGAATTTGAGCCTTACCCAGTGTTGCTCAGGGAAGCTATGGACCTAACCAGGGTCAGCTGCATGCAAGACAAATGCCTTTACCTTCTGAACTATTTGTCTGGTCTCTAAAAGGATGTAATATGTAATGTATTATGACAGCAATATAAAGAAGTTAAGAATCAAGAGACATGGAGACTCAAGAAAACAAGAACTTTAGAGCAATGGTTTTCAACCAAGAGGACTGACCTGCAGCTCTAAAATGTTTGAAAACCACTGCTTTAGTTGGACTTTTTTTTTCTCTTTTTTGCTTTTTGGGTCATACCCGGCAATGCACAGGGGTCACTCCTGGCTCTGCACTCAGGAATTACCCCTGGCGGTGCTCAGGGGACCATATGGGATGCTGGGAATCGAACCCGGTTCAGCTGCGTGCAAGGCAAATGCCCTACCCGCTGTGCTATCGCTCCAGCCCCATTAGTTGGACATTTTGAAAAATCATTGGGCATCAAATGTCTTCCTGAGCAAAAAATAAGGAAAACTGCAATAATTCCAAGACCGTTGAGGGTTGCCTGTCTGTGTTTTGATAAATTTGGCACATTTAATAATCTCAGTTTATGCACCATTCACAAAAACAATTCAATTTTTTAAATTGCTTCACACTATAAAAAGAAAATTTGTGGGGAAAAAAAGTTACTCTGAAATTAAAATTATGTTTTAATCAGAGATAGTTACTCAGAATGCTTATTATGTTCAATCTTTTTTGAAAGGTTCAACAAAGTTTGTGAATTTATGAGAACAGAACAATGAGCTATTAGCAATGGTGTAGTAAGCAATGGTATAGAACTGAGAACTGCCTGAGTCCCACCTCTTCCTTTTATTAACTGTGTCCCAACTCTTCCTTTTATTAACTGTGTCCCAACTCTTCCTTTTATTAACAGTATGTTAATTTACATTCTGTGCAAATCACTGCCAAATCAGTGTACTTGGTCATAAATGAAAATCATTACAACTTTTTCAGATTTGAAAATTACATTGGAAAATATATGCAGATAGTAATTATCAGTATCTGATCATATTTAAATATAAAGTGAGTAAAAATTGTTACAGCTTAATGAGTTTTAGATGATTGAAGTAATAGAATATCAAACAAGCTAGCTGAATGGTAATAAAAAAACATGATAAGAAGTAGGATCTGAAGGAATATGCCAGTATCAAGAGGTAATTGTTACCGTAAAACCACCTTCCTGATAGAAAGGGGAACACCAAGTGGAGGGTGTTTGGAGGATCCTCCCAGGAGGGGAGATGCAGGTTGAAAGTAGACTGGACTGAACATGTTCGCCACTCAATGCCTCTTTGGCTGATCACAGCGCCCAGGAGGAGAGAGAGAACAGGGGGGAATGCCCTGCCACAGTGGCAGGGGGGGATGGGGGGATGGGAGGATGGGGGGGGAGGGATATTATCCTGGTGGTGGAAAATGGGCACTGGTGGAGGGATGGGTATTTGATCGGGGTATGACCGAGATCCAAGCACAAAAATTTGTAAATCTACAACTGTACCTCATGTCGTTTCACTAATAAAAAAGAAAAAAAAAACCACCTTCCTATCTTCTCTCTTCTTGGGTGCCTTTTCATAAAATCCAGGTGTACTCATTTAAGAGTACAATATAAAAAGAATGACTAAATTACTTAAGTAGGGTGGGAAACATCTTGCCTGTGAACCATGAAAGGACCATGGACTCATGTGATCTTGTCCTAGTACATAATGAGACGGATTCTTACACTTCTCATTGGTTGCTCATGATCTGTCTGCCTATATTGTATGGCTGGTAAATGATGTTATAAATATCTAAATGACCTTTGGCAGAAAAGAGTTTCCCCATCCCTGATTTAATTAAAGACTATGCTATTTTTCCACTAGACAAATTTACTAAAAAATTAAAATACTTGTAGTCAAAATCTGGCAAGTATTTATACAATAATAAACTACCATTTATTTTTCTATTTTCCAGACATTAAGTTTCAAGTGACATAAAGGAAAATATTAATTCATGGTAATATTCAGTGAATCATTACAGTGTGCCAGATTCTACATTCTTTTTCTGCTTTATCTTATTTAGCTCTTACATGACTACTAAGCACACACTTTTCCAATGAAGACTCTGAGGTGTAGGAAAGTTGATTAGTCCATATCTCTTGATTAGTAAGTGATACAGCTGAGATTTGACTTAGGTATGTAGACATAATCATGCTCTTAATAAATCAAATGCTGATTTACATTCATACTCTTCACTTAAGATTTTGTTCTTTAAAATCATTTAATCTATTTGGTCCTCCCTTCTCTATCTGAGCTGCCTTTTCCCCCAGCGTGTGCAGCTGGCTTCCAAGCCATGGAGTAAACCTCCTGGTATTTATCTCGGCTATTCTTGGGTGTTAGTCTCCTATTTTGTTACTTTATGTTCCCCAGATGAATGCAGTCTTTCTATGTCTGTCCCTCTCTTTCTGACTCATTTTGCTTAGCATGATACTTTCCATGTAGTACCACTTGTATATAAATTTCATGACTTCATCTTTTCTAACAGCTACATAGTACTCCACTGTGTACCTCATGGTGTTTCACTAATAAAAGTCTAAATTAAAAAAAATCATTTAATCTATTACTCTACAAACCTGTTTTATCAGATATCCATATTTACTCCTCTTCCCATTTTAAAAGATCCAGGGGCCATAGATGATAGATAGCAAAGGGTTTAAGGTGTTTTCCCTGCACATTGACAACTCCAGTTTGATCCCTAGCACATATGGTCCCTTAAGCATGATACTCATGCTAGGTCAGCTGGGATGACCTGGGTATTTCCTGGTGGGATATAGCCAGTGGGCTCCTACATTGAATCACTGGCCTGATTGGTCAAGAATCACCAGGTTGGCCTCACGGGCCTCCTGGGGATAACTTCAGGGCTCCCTCACCAAAAAAAATGTTTAAAAAAGTATTTTAAAGTAAAAAGTATAAACAATAGATACAAGATTCATCATGAATGAATTTTTTACTACTTGGATAGTAAAAAATTAAGTATCAACTATATGCCATAGAGTCCAAACTATAGATTTAAAATTAAAGCATAAACTAATTTTTTACTACTTGGACAGTAAAAAAATGGTATTTTTCTTTTTTTTTATGTTCAAAGATAAAGAAAGCCCTTGACGAAGCCAATTTGAGGTCCGTGGAGGTGTCTCGGACTAACCGAGAGCTGCGGCAGAAACTTACAGAGCAGGAAAAGATACTGAACAGTAACAAGGAGAAAATAAAGAATCAGAAGGCCCAGATTAAGCTCCACTTGTCCTCTAAGGCGAATAACGTACAGAACGTAGAGAGGATGAAGGTTGTATGAGCAAATCCAAAGTCTTGCCATCCTTAGTATGTGCCGACAGCCTGGGCAGGGAAGGCAGTATTCTGGAACATCCTCAAAAGCACTAGCAGAACCCAGAGATTTTTGGGGGAATTACAAATGAGAAGTGGGCAGATTGCCTTGGGTGGTGTGTGTTGGAGGCAGAGTGGGGATATTTTATTCCAGCAGAGATTCTTCTAGGAAGTGTTTGGTTTCTCTGCGACAAACAAGGGCCTGTTCTGGCTCACTCTAGGTCACCGGACTGGCCCTGTCAGTGAGTGTATAAGGAAAGCCCACTGTAGGTCTTGAATTTATTTTTTTTCCTGTCATCCTTTAGTCAAAAAGAGCAAATCATTTTTTCCACTGATTTCCCTTTGTTATTTCCACATTTATTTTCAGCAAATAGAAGCAGAATTGAGGCAAATGGAGCTAATTAAGGAACAGTATCAGAAAAAAAACTATGAACAGGTAGATGATTTTCACACATAATTTTTTACATAGAATTTCAAACATAAAATCAAGTTCAGCAATTCTCTCTTTGTCTTGCCAGTCATTGAGTATCCAGAAATTTGTATGTGAAATGACAAATCTGCAGAAAGAAATGCAACTGTTGGCCAGGAGTCAATATGATACCTCGGCCCGGAATAAACACCAGGAACTGCTGCTAGAGTCAGAGCGAAAAATAAGGCAAGAACTAGAGAATCGGTGCCAGGTAAACAGTTTCTGCTTAAGATTCATTTTATAAGCACTGGCATGTCATAACCCTGACTAACACCTAGATTTTCTAGGGAATAAAATATTAAAAATATGTAAGGTTCTTCATCTTAGTCCTTATAATCAGTCTTTCAAAAGCCTGTTGATTTGAGTATGGTGCATTACCCACTTTCAACTTTTAATAAAATATGAAACTCATTTTTGAAAAATAGCCATATCTCATACGATCTGGATTTTATGGTCTTTCAGAGACTATGCTCATTACTTCTTCTCTGCAGCACAGATATAACTGTTGCTATTGGAGGAGCATTATCAACTACAAAATTATTTGATAAATGCTTTTATATGTCTCTGAAAATGTATCTCAAGAGTTCATCAAGGCCTTACCTTTCAACAGATTGTTCAATTCTGAAAAGCGAAGTTAATCACTTTTTTAAAGGAAAATTCATAAGTTAGAATCTTTAAGTTATGAATATTTTATTAAGTTAATGAAGGTATCAAGTTTTTATTTTGTATTTTCATAGCTACTAAAGTTAGAAAGTAACCAATACTTTAATAAATTAATTATTTATTAAAGTATAGTCATTGTAACCAATATACCTTAATAAATTATTTAATAAATAATTGATAATAAATAAATGATAAATATTTATCATTATTTTGATACCCATTTATTCTAATATTGAAACACATTTTGTTCTTTGGGTACATTGGAAGTTTTAAAAAATCCTTGTATTATGTTTTTAGGAATTAGAAGAAACCATCAGACACTTGAGAAAATCTAAAGAGGTAACTGACAATAAACTGAAAGAAGCCAGTGTGGAATCAGAACAGGTAAGCCAGAGCCATGGGTATAATGATTTAGACAAACTTAAAGACACCTTGGAAATCCCCACCCCACAAGATACTTATATCTGGGGGGGAAAATGAACATGGTGAGAACATACAAAGGGTAGTAGAAAACCTTAAGGGTACTAGCTGTTTGGTTAAGTGAAGTACCCCAGCCTCTGCTCTTCATGTACCTATTGAATAGTGATGTGTTTACTCTCCTCACTGTCTCTATCAACTTCATCTGGGTAACAATAAGTAACAAAATAAGAGACTAACACCCAAGAACAGCTGTGATAAATACCAGGTTGTTCACTCCATGGCTTCGAAGCCAGCCGCACACTCTAGGGGTAAAGGCAGCTCAGATAGAGAAGGGAGCACCAAATAAAGGGTGCTGGGAAGATCCACCCAGGATGGGAGATGCATGCTGAAAGTAGACTATAGACCGAACATGATTGCCACCCAATGCCTCTTCTGCAAACCACAGCACCCAAAAGGAGAGAGAGAACAAAAGGGAGTGCCCTGCCACAGAGGTAGGGTGGGACTCATACCAAGACATATTAAAATGTCAAGATAAGCGAGAGAAAACAACATATTCTGTCCACTGTCCTCCCATTGTTCATTGATTTGCTTGAGCGGGCCCAGTAACATCTCCATTGTGAGACTTCTTGTTACTGTGTTTGGCATATTGAATACTCTCGGTAGCTTGCCAGGCTTTCCAAGAGGGGCGGAGGAATCGAACCTGGCTTGGCCAGGCTGGCTGTGCGCAAGGCAAAAGCCCTACCGCTGTGCTATCGCTCCAGCCCAACATATTCTATATATAAGGAAAACTAAAATTTCTGGCAAAAACTTTGCAGACTTGAAGCACTGTAACAAAGTGTGTGCAATCCCTGAGCATCAAAAAAAGACAAAAAAAATAAGAAATGGGTAGATAAAGTATATCTGGAGAAGACATACAGTTGGCCAACAAGAACATGAAAAGATGTCATCTCTTTTTCATAGGAAACTGTGAAATCAATGCAAATCAAAACAGAGAATACTTTACTACAGCTATAAGAACTCTTTTTTCTCAAACAACCAAAAGTGAGAGGTTGTAGAGTGAAAACAGCCTCTCTGTACTCTGGATGGAGAGCGTAAGTTGGAAATCTCTCAAAACAAGTTCAGAATTCCTTGTGATCCAGTTATCCCACTTCTGGGTATTTAATATAACATTACGGATTTGTACTTGTATATGCATATATTCATAACTCATTTTTATCGCAGCATCCATTTCAGATAATCCAACTGCCCACTGAGAAAGATGTGAGATATACATATAATGGAATGCTATTCCGCTATAAAAACCAAAGATGACAAATCCTGCATTTTAGAGCAATAGGAATGGATCTAAAAAGCACATGTTTAGTGAAAAAGTTTGATGAAGAATGAAACATTGCATGATTTCACCTGTATATGGTACAGAAACAAAACTTTCACAATAAACTATTGGAAATGGGGAAAATGGGATGGTAAATTAGATAAACGAAAGGTTGTGAACATAACTTAGTGTATGAAGATGTTGATTTATAGTGATGAATAACTGAAACTTGCATAATGAAGTAATGAGACAACCTAGAAGGGTCTCCTTAATTGAAAGCATAAAGACTAACAAAAATTTCAAGAGCCAATATTGGAAACAGAGAAGCATCTAGTGACTTGGATTAACAAACATAAATGTGGGCTCTGGGTTAGCTCAATGGTAGTATAGAAGCAGCGTTATAAGCCTGAGGCTGGGAGTTCAATCCCTGGTACCACCCACATGCAACAAACATAATCCCAACAGTACAGCAACCAAGAGTGTAAGACTCCTAGTGATCTCAACAGTATCAGTGAAAGGGAGTGGAATGAAGACCAGAAACAGCATATCCCTCTCAGCAGCAAAATCATCGTGACCAAAGGAAACAATTCATATCTGATATTGAAAGAAAAGATCTTCTAGTTGTTTTTTTTATTAAAGACTAGGGTTAGACTTCTATCACTTCACTTGTATCACTTGTCATCCCGTTGCTCATCTGTTTGCTTGAGCAGGCACCAGTAATGTCTCCATTCGTCCCTGTCAAGTGTTAGTGTAGCCCAGTGGCATCTGTGCACTCCAGGAACATGAAGAGCCTCAAATCGTTCGTTCAGAGTCTTGACAAAGAAGTCTGACCATCTTGTAGGTGGGCGGCCAGGAGTTCTTTTGATGTTCCATGGAATCCAGTCTGTAACAGCTCTAGTCCAGCAGCCATCTCCAAATTGCATTATGTGTCTGGCCCATCTGATTTTTGACACCTTGGCAAACGAGACAGCAACCCTGATTCATGATCATTGATGGAGGATGGAACTCCAGATTCCTTCTCTCACTTGAGTGAAACATGATACTCCAAGCATAACTCTTTCAATTCCTCTTTGATTCCTCTTGGGAGACCCAAGTAGTGTTCTATTCTGTTTTCGTAGGTTAGACTACAATTATTAACTAACTACTAGGTTTAGGTGGTTTCAAAAATTCAAAAATCATTATACAATGGAAAATTAAGAGGTGGGTCTGAATACTGATGTGAGGGAACTTTAAAGTTTTGGGGAAATTCTGGAGGTAAATTATTTATCAAAGGAAAGTCTTCAATAGGAATGAAAAGTCCTAGTCTGGAAAGAGTGGCTAAAAGCACATTCATCCAACAGAGAAATGAGCTCAGCGTCAGATTTCAAGGCCTTTAAGGACAGAAAAAATAGTCTTGCTCAAGGGCAATGTTTCAATATATGGATTAAAATCCTTTGTGATGTTACATAATGAAAACCCCAAGGTCTGGTGCCTATCAATAAGCAAAAGTTGCTTGTTTGCTCCAAGAGTAATATGAAATCACAAATTAACCAGTTCTTTCTGAATTGCTGCAATAATCAAATGAAGAACTGAAGAAGTATGTACCTTTCAAGATTTTACAGTTTATTAATATTCCCAGACATCTTCCTTTTATTGGTGATCTTAATGCTACTTAATGCCAAAGTAGCATTTATCTCTCTAAACACCACTTTGATTCAACCACTGGATTAAGGTATTGGATTATAGCATGTAGTCTATTAGGAATGATAGTTTATTGAATTTTATAGCATTTAGGAGTTGAATTTAAGGTCTGTTGGAAGAAACACATTTGTGACAGTATTGGAAGACCTGCTTAGACTTGTGGTGTCACCAAGGATTGTACCCAAAGACACTCAAGAAATTTGTCCATGACTTCAGGGATTTTTCATGGATAAGAGATGGCAAAAATCACAGCTGTGGTCAAGAAAACAAGCAACCTTACTAGGAAATGAGGGTGACAGCGAGGAGCTGCCAGAGGAATCGACTAATAAGGAGTTGGAACTGAAACTTAGATTCACAATACTGAGAAATTTTCATTAACAGAAGAATCATCATGCACTTTCTGCTTACAGGAAAAATCTGTGATTAAAAAAAAGAAAACAAACCACCCTGGACATTTTTCTGGGGAAAAAAAGTGACACATCATGAAGAGTTTCACTCCAGTCTTAAGATACTGTTATCATAGGCGATAGCAGCTCCAGCTGCACTGAAATCATTGCCCCTGAAGACCTTCCAGTGGGATGAGATATGGAAGAGTAAATATTTTTATCTTAATCCGGTAGGCCAAGGATAATTGTGGGGGGGTAGGGGCGATGTGAGCTTTTATCTAGGGGCTCAACTTGGAAGCTGGCTTGTTACTTAAGCAACAAAAGTGAAAAGTTGTAGGTGAAGACAGCCTCTGTGTACTGTGGGTGAAGAGCACACATTCTGGACTATGAGCTACCCTTGTGTATCTTTGAAACAGAAAAATGCTTACAGAACAATAAGATATTTTTGTATAGCTATATGATATACTTGTGTTTTAGGTATTATAAAAAGATAATTATAGGGCTGGAGAGATAGCTCAAAGGGATGAAGCATGTGTAAGTTCAATCTTCAGCCCCTCCATCAACACCCCAAGCACTGCTGAGGTGCCCCTAATAAAAAGAACTTGAGGCACCAGATAGTTCAGTGGGTAGGACATTTGCCTTCAAGCTGAGCCCAGTTCAATCCCTGGCACCACATTTGGTTCCCTGAGTACCATCAAGAGTGACCAAAAAGCACAGAGATGGGTAAACCCTGATTACAATCGTGTATTGCTGCAAAACTAAACCATACCAACAAGTGAGCCAGAGAGATAACAGGCAGAGTGCATGCTTTGCATGTAGGAGGCCCGGGTTCAACCCCTGGCATCACGTGGACCCCTGAGCATCAGCAGAGAGTGCCTGTGAGCACCACTGAATGTGCCCCAAATCCAAAAGTAGTTTGAAATATAAAAAAGCATGCAGGGGCTCGGACCACTTAGCATTGAACTGTCTGGTCCAGGTGACAGAGAATTTCCCCAGACACACCCTGACCACCATTTGGGAGCCCCCTGCAAAAGTTTAGTTTCCAAAGTGAAAACAGAATAAGTCAAGATTGATTTATTATTGAAAAACTTTTAAAAAAATATTGCCAAGTGTAAAGTCCCTACTAGCATACAAAACTCATATCTGGACCAGAAATTCCTAAGCTTATTTGACTCCCCCCTCCCCCTTGTCAGAAGTAGTATATCACTCAGTAGCATTCTTATGGAAATCTACTACCTTTAAGTAAAGTTTCCCCCAGGATGCCATGTTCCCACATTGGGAAACACTATCTTAACTTTCTCATTCATTGGCTCCTATTGTCTCCAATTCTTCAAACTTTATGCATTTAACTGCCCTACATAAGTTTGACTTTTTCTGTCTTATAACATTACTGTACATTTTCTGTTCCTATATGTTAGAAACATACCACTGAGCTATATTCGTTGCTCATAGAAGAAATAATATTTTTATTAAAAGCAATCTTCAGAATCAATGTGAATCCCTATCAGCCTTCTAATTACATTTTTTTTTCAGAAGTAGAAAAAATCCTAAAATTTGTCTACAAAGACACATGACTCTGAATATCCAGAACTATATTGGGAAAGAACAAAGCTAAAGAAGCCACACTCCCTGATCTCATACTATATTGCAAAGTTATCATAGTTATATGGCATTGGCATAAAAGTAGACACAAAGATCAATGGAACAGAAATCCCAGAAATAATTTCATACTTATATGAGCAATTTCTAACAAAGGAGCCAGGGACACACACTGGGGAACTCTTCTGTAAATGGTTCTGACAGCCACATGTAAAGGAATGAAACTGAGCCACTATTTTTTACCAAATATAAAAATTCAAAATGGGGGTTCAGACTTGAATTTAAAAAATAAAACTACGTCAAACTAAAATAAATGCACAACAAAATGAATAGAAATTTAGCAAATCTTATGCTAAATAAGGGGCAAATATAAAAAAATATAAAGAGTGGGAAATGGGCACTGGTGGAGGGATGGGTATTTGATCATTGTATAATTGAAACCCAAGTACAAAAATGTGTAAGTCTGCAACTGTACCTCATGATATCTCACCAATCCAATTGAAAAATGGGTGAACAGTCTGAACAGGCATTTTTCAGTCTAGATTTGAGAAGATGTTTAGCATATCATTGATCATCAGGGAAGTAGAAGTAGAAATCAAAACCACAATGAAATCAATACTGTTATAATAATCAAAAGAAAATAAATGAATGTTGGCAAGGATGTGAAAAAAGGGATTCCCTGGTGCACTCAGAATGTAAATTATGCATTCGCTATAGAAAATAGTATGCATGGTTCAAAAAATGTTTTAAATAGAAATTCCATATAATCCAATCAATTTCACTTTGGGGTCACTGTCACTGTCACTGTCCTCCCAATGTTCATCGATTTGCTCGAGCGGACCCAGTAATGTCTCCATTGTGAGACTTGTTACTGTGTTTGGCATATTGAATACTTCACAGGTAACTGGCCAGGCTTTGCCATGAGGATGAGATACCTCAGTAGCTTCCCAGGCTCTCCGGAGGGGCAAAGGAATCGAACCTGGGTTGGCCGGGTCAGCTGCTTGCAAGGCAAATGCCCTACCCGCTGTGCTATAGCTATTTGAAAAAAATTGCTTGAGAAGTGTGATAAACCCCCATGTTCTTTGCAGAATTACTTGTAATAATAAAGATAAGCAAAATAAAGAAACAACATCTCTATCGGTGGATAATGAATAAAGTGCAACCATAAATGTACATGCCACATATACATGGTGGAATATATTCAACCATTAAAAAAGAATAAAATCTTGATATTGAAACAATCTTAATGAAAATTGAGATTATCAGACAGACAAGTACCATATGATTTTGCTTAGAAGTGGTATCTAAAAAAAAAGTCACAGAGAACAGATTTATAATTGTTAGAGGTAGGAGCTTTGCAGGTAGACAGAGTAGGATAGAAGGCATCAAAATGTATAAACTTCCAGCTATAAATGAATGGCATGGTCATCTTTAGTCTGTATTGTCACTGTCACTGTCCTCCTGTTGTTCATCGATTTGCTTGAGCGGGCCCAGTAACATCTCCATTGGAGACTTTGTTGTTACTGTGTTTGGCATATCGAATACGTCACGGGTAGCTTGCCAGGGTCTGCCGTGATAGTCTGTATTATATTATATATTTGAAAGTTGCTAAGAGTAGATTGTAAGAGTCCTCATCAGAAGAAAAAAAATTGTTACTGTATGGTGCTAGATTTATTTCTGATCATTTTGGAGTACTGAATCATTTTGAGAAGAATTAAATCACCAGTTAAACTGTAAACGAATGTAATGTTATTGTATATGATGCATAACCATTGAAAAATGATTCTGTGGCTGGAGAATGTTCAGTGGGCTGGTGCCATGCTTTGTTAAGCAAGAGACTCCAGTTCAGACCATCCAGAACCATGCAGTTCAAAACAAACAAGAAAATGAGAATATTCCGGACCAAATGATAGATATTAGAGTGGTGAGGTTCTGGTTAAAGCTAAGACCCAAGTACATAAACTTGAGAAAACCAGGGCCTGAGCAATAGTACAGTAGGTAGGGTGTTTGCCTTTCATGTAACCTGCCCTAGTTTGATTCCTGCCACCCCATATGGTTTCCTGAGTCCTCCAGGAGTGATATCTGAGAGCAGAGCCAGGAGTAGGGCCTGAGCATAGCCAGGTATGACCAAAGAACAAATAAACCAGAAAACCATGTATATATGGATTTTAGTGCTTCAACATCAACTAGTGGAAGTGAAAAAATGTTTATTCTGACTGTATCACTGTATCACTGTCCTCTCGTTGTTCATTGATTTGCTTGAGCGGGCCCAGTAACATCTCCATTATGAGACTTGTTGTTACTGTGTTTGGCATATCGAATATGTCACAGGGAGCTTGCCAGGCCTTGCTGTCCAGGTGAGATACTATCGGTAGCTTGCCAGGCTCTCTGAGAGGGGCGGAGGAATTGAACCCGGGTCTGCCGGGCCGACTGCATGCAAGGCAAATGACCTACCGCTGTGCTATTGCTCCAGTTTGCTCTGACAATAAGTAAAATAGACCCTTATAATTTTTAAAAAGTCTTTCTTTTTGGATCACACCTGGCGATGCTTAGGGGTTACTCTTGGCTCTGCACTCAGAAATTACTCCTGGTGGTGCTTGGCAGAATGTACGGGATACCAGGGATTGAACTCCTGTTGGCCATGTGCAAGCCCAAAACCCTCTCTGCTGTACTGTAGCTCTGGCTCTAATTTTTGAAATGTTTTATGTTCTAATATCTTTTAAAATAGACTTTCTGAATGTATATAAAAATCGTACATTTTTAGAGCTATAAAGGATCTTTGAAAGCATTCATCAAACAAGCCTACACCTCTTTCTCCAATTTAAGATTCTTAAACTTCAGATTATTACTGTGATGATGCATTCAATTGGTCATGTGGGTTTTTAACATTAGGTAAAATGATGGCCAAGTGGGTGTTTGGCTTAGTGACAGAACACAGCACTTTGCATCTGTAAGGCCCTGGGTTTGAGTCCCAGCCCTACCCCTCCCCTCCCTGCTGCCCCCAAACACACAGACATACAAACCACTAATACACAAAAACTTATAGTTCTCTTGTAACTTGTGGTGATAGCATTTTATTTTACATGTTCAGATAACAGCTAATCTAGAAGAAGCCCATCGCTGGTTTAAGCACAAGTTCGATGGCCTACAATTTGAACTGACGAAAAACCGGTTGCAGAGACTTCCCCGGGAAGACAGGAGGCAGGAAGAGGTAGAGTTTTAAACGTGTTTTGAATTTGTTCCTTCTCAGACTTCTTCTTACAAAAATTTGCTTGTCATTCAGCTACTTTCTTTGTTACTCTTTATATGCAATTACTTTTAAGAAGCCAGGGAGTTGTATTATTTTCTTAAAAGTTCTACCTTTCCCAGATTGTCTAGAATAGTACCTTTTTGTCTGTGTGTGTGATGAATAAATTTTATTCACCGAAACATTCAGTATTCACATTCTGCAATTAGTTTTGAATGGTGTTGTGTTGTTTTGTTTTTGTTTTTGGGCCATGCCTGGCTGTGCTCAGGGCTTACACCTGGCTCTGAGCTCAGGGACCGCTCCTGGCAGAGCTCAGAGGTCCGCAGGGAATGCCGAGGATCAGAGCTAGATGGGCCACGTGCAAGTGCATTACCTGCTGTGCTATCTCTCAGAACCCACATTATGTTTTCTTTCCAATAGGAGCGTGGTAAAAGAAACATCGTGCCTGGCCAGTCTATTCTACATAGATGGGAAAATAAACAGAATTTTAGACCTATGCCTAAGAAATCTTAGACAGGCCCAGTCACCCTGAACTAGAGAGACAGTGACATCATTGACAGAGCTTCTTCATTTAGCTGCACCACCATGACTCCTGGAGCCCAGGGTCTAGGCAAGCCTGTTTCCAGACTCATCAGAACTTGAAGTCTTTGATGTGAGCTGAAGATTTGGGACCTGAGTTTATCCTTTTATGAACTCTTTGATATCAATACAGACCTACCCCTCTTTTTCTCCCTTTCCCCATTTTCCACCCAATAAATGTATATTAATTTGTTGTATAAGAAAAAGACGTTGCATGACACTAATTTTCCTAAATACATCTTATCTAGAAACATTTCTTGAAGTTTTAGATGATAAGGTTAGTAATTACATACTTTGTTTTAATGAAATATTCTACCATAACATTCAGAAGATAATACATGAAAGTATACTCAGAAAATGGCTGAAAAAAAACCCTTTCACTACTATGTAAGTTTATATACCTTTCTATGCTGTACCATTACATGGACATCTTTAAAAATATCTCAGTTCTTCGGCTGGAGAGATAGTACAAGGATTAAGATGCTTGCCTTGCATGTGGCTGATCCTGGTTCAACCCCTGGCACTATAAGGAGTGATTCCTGATAGGGCAGGAAAGATAGTATAACAGGTAAGGTGCTTGCCTTGCATGTGTCTGACCTGAGTTCAATCCCTAGCATCCCATATGGTTCATTGAGCAGTGCCAGAAGTGATTCCTAAATTCAGGATCCAGAAGTAACCCCTTGGCACTGCCAGCTGTGCCTCCCACCTGCAAAAAAAAAAAAGTGATACCTGAGCACAAAGACAGGAGTAATTAAGACCTGAGGACCACTGGCTGTGATAAAAAAACCCAAACTAATAATAATATTAACAACAATTATTGCTTCAGAGAGCTATCAAACTGGGCCACAACTGTAAGAGGTCCAGTTTCAATCGCCTGCACTACAAGATCCCTGAGCACTGCTGGGTCAGGCCAAAAACAATAGTAATAACTTTTTGAAAAAAACTCAATTCTTACATATAGAATATCACATAGGTTATATTTATTTCTCAGACATTGACAAAGATGTTTAACAGAGTAGTCTACTTGGCTTAAGGAAACTCTGCCTTACCACTTATTACTCCATTACTATGTAAGGTAAAGGCCCTCCCGTTGTTCATAGATTTGCTCAAGCGGGCCCAGTAACGTCTCCATTGGAGATTTTGTTGTTACTGTGTTTGGCATATCGAATACATCACGGGTGGCTTGCCAGGCTCTGCCTTGCGGGCGAGATACTCTTGGTAGCTTGCCGGGCTCTCCGAGAGGAGCAGAGGAATCGAACTCGGGTCGGCCATGTTGGCAAGGCAAACACCCTACCGCTGTGCTATCGCTCCAGCCCCCATTACTATGTAGGAACCAATAAATTCAACTTTTTCCTGAATTAGGTAATTCAGATTTAATGTATATAATTCTACTAAGAGATCCAGTTTTTTGTTTGTTTTGATTGCATTTCCCTGATAAGTGATGCAGAGTATTTTTTCTGTATATCTTTTGGCCATCTGTATGTCTTCTTTGGAGAAATCTCTGTTCATCTCTTTCCTTCATTTATGATGAGGTTGATTTGTGCACAATATTAGAAAGGAATCTGAATTAACTTTGGGTATATGACCAACCAGTTTTCTCAGCACCACTTGCTGAAGAGGTTTTCCTGGCTCCACTTCATATTTTTTTTGCTCCTCTCCTTATCAAAGATTAACTGCCCATATGTCTGAGAATCTATCTCTGGACTCTGAATTCTGTTCCATTGATCTGAGAGTCTAACCTTATTCCAGTACCACATGGTTTTGATTACTCCAATTTTATAGTATAGTTTGATGATAAGGAAATAGAAGCCTTCCATCTTCTTTTTCCTAGGATTGCTTTGGATATTCAGAGGAGCTTGTTACTCCATATAAATTTTGACAGCATTTCATCTGTACCACTGCACTGTCCTCCCGTTGTTCATCCATTTGCTTGAGTGGGCCCAGTAACATCTCCATTGTGAGACTACTTGTTACTGTGTTTGGCATATCGAGTACATCACAGGTAGCTTGCCAGGCTTTGCCATGCAGGCGGGATACTCTCAGTAGCTTGCTGGGTTCTTCGAGAGGGGCGAGAAGGTGTTTTTAAAAAATATCATGGGGCCAGGTATGAGATGGCCATGACGGGGCAACTGCAGTCTCATGGGAAGAGGGGCGGTACTGGCTCGTCCTTCACGTCCTACCAAGGTCACAAGTTGCCCCCCATCAGTGGCTTTCCAGCACAGCCATAACACCAGATGCACAGAAACCAATCTCGTAATTATCTGGCTCTTTGCAGAAATCTAAAATCATTATATGAGTCTTATAACCAGCTATAGAAAACAAAGTATTTCACAATGCCTTTTCAGCAATTCTGATTGTTGGGGGGTAAATTCTAAATAATAATGGTGAATCTTTTGTCAAAATAATGAATGTAATCAATGTAGAGAAGAGTTAAGTAGAAATCATCTGCCTCAAAGGCATTGGGAAGGGTGGGAGGGGGGTATATTGCGGTTCTTGGTGGTGAAAAATGAGTACAGGTGAAGGGAAAGGTGTTTGATCATTGTATGACTGAGACTTAAACCTGAAAGCTTAGTGACTTTATCCACAGTGATTCAATAAATAAATATAAGAAGAAAAAAATAAATAAAATTATGACAAAAAAAAGTAAGGTGGAATTCATGCTCAATTCAATCAGCGAATGAGTGGCTGAATAAATAGCAGTACTCCTACATAAAAAATATCATGGGTATTTTTTAATAGGGGCTCAGTTGAATCCCATTATTTAGCTTTGGACAATATTCTCATTCATGATAATTCTCAATAGGTATTCGAAGGAACTTTCCTAATAATAATTAAAGCCATTTACCACAAGCAATGTGAAAAACCCTGGTCAGTTATGAGAAACAAAAGCCTTCCTTCTAAAATCAGCACAAGATGAGGTTGCTCACTCTCACCACTTCTATATTTATCCTTCTGCCTCCCAACTCACACGGGGTAATGGCAAGAATTTCTCCATTTCCTTGCTAGCGTTCAGTAAATCACTGGAAGTCTATGCTGTAGCTATGTTTAAAGTCATCTAGATCAGGAAAGAAGAAAGGGCCAGAGCGGTAGTATAGGGATAGGGTGCTTGCCTTGCTCACAGCTGTCCTCAGATTCATCCTTGGCATCACATATAGTCCCCTTGGCACCTCCAGGAGTGATCCCTGAGCACAAAGCCAGGAGTAATCCCTGGGCACTGCCGGGAATGGTTCAAAAAACAAACATATACAAACAAATGTCAAACTCTAACTATATTCTAGGTGGCATGATATCAAAGAAATCCTAAAAACCTCACCATAAAAGCTCCTAGAAACAATGGATTGTACAGTAAAGTTGCAGGCTACAAAAATCAAGTCACAGAAATCCATAGTTTTTCTAGAAAGAAATCTTAAAAAGCAATACCATTCACAATGGGCTGGAGCTATAGCACAGGGGGTAGGGCGTTTGCCTTGCTAGGCGGCCAACATGGCTGACTGGAATTCGATTCCTCTGCCCCTCTCGGAGAGTATCTCGCCCGCACAGCAAAGCCTGGCAAGCTCCCCGTGATGTATTCGATATGCCAAACACAGTAACAAGTCTCACAATGTTACTGAGCCTACTTGAGCAAATCGATGAACAACAGGAGGACAGTGACAATGACCATTCACAATTTGTGCCTCCAAAAACCAAGCTCCTGGGAATCAGTTTAACAAAAGTGGTGAAATACATAAATAAAACGATAAAGCACTACCAAGAAAAATGAAAAGGGCACGAGGAAACGGAAACACATACCCTGTTCATGGATTGGAAAGATTAATATAGAAGAATATTTTATAGATGAAATATTCCATCAATGTATTGTAAATTGTGGTACCAAAAATAAAATAAATCAGTTTTTTTTTCTAAAGAAAAATTTTTCTCCATATGGTTGTAATAGGAAAGACAGATATAGCAAGGATGTCATCTTGCTCTAGCTGAGGCCACAAGATAAGGCCTGCAGATGGCTAGTACATGCTCCACCAGGAGCAGCCCCTGGCTGAACGCTAGCAAGGAAATGGAGAAATTCTTGCCAATACCCCATGTGAGTTGGGAGGCAGATTCTACCAAGATATCTAGAAAGGAGCACAGCCCTGCCAACACCTTGACTTTAGTAGGGAAAGTCCAAATTAGATTCTGGTCCCACTATCTGGGTTCATGACTCATCAAGAGAGTAAGACAGTTTTTATTATTTTTAAACCCTTCGTTTTAGAGAGCAACGATGTAAGAAAGATAATACAGGGCTCAGAGAGATGACTCAATTTGCTGAGCATATACTTTGCATGTAGAAGACCTGGGTACAATCACTGGCACTGCATATGATCACAGAAGTATAGATGGGAATAGCCCCTGAGCACTGTTGGGTATATCTCCCAAAGCATCATAAATATATAAACTAACACAATAGCATTGTTACAAAAACCATAGTGTCTGGGAAGAGAGCTCCAGCTCCAGTAGAGGCCTTGATTTCTGTGCCTGGTATAGCCTGTCCCCCACACCCTCCAATTCCACCTACTGTAGCCTCGTGATTGCAGAACCCCACTGAGCCCATATAGCAACAATACTCAAGCACATCAGTGGGCCTGAGAATTGCTGGTAGTACTCCAGATTCCAGAAGACTGTTGGGTGTGCCTCCCATTAAACACGTTTAATAAGTTTTTTGAAAAAACACATTTGGGGGCTGGATGATGATAATGGAATTAAGGCGCATGCAGTGCATGCAGCTGAACCAGTTAGATTCTCAGTACCTGATGTGGAGGCCACTGGTCCTGCCAGGGTGGCCCAGGTGGTCCACAGCACCACAGGACATAAGCAGCTCACCCTGGGCTCACCACTGAACTATCTGAACTAGTTGGTTAAGAATCACCAGAAGTTGGCCCCTGGGCCTCCTGAGTACCACT